CTATCACTGAGCCACCTTCCCAGCCCATCCATGAGATTCTTATCTCCAATTAACCACTAGAAAACTAGAAGAGTGGGCTGGGAAGGTTTCTCAGTGGTAGAGCGTTTGCCTTGCGTGCATGAGGCCCTGGATTCAATTCCTCAGCACCACATAAGCTAAAAGAAAAAAGCCGGAAGTGGCACTGTGGTTCAAGTGGTACAGCCCTAGCCTTGAGCTGAAGAGCTGAAGGACAGCGCCCAGGCCCAGAGTTCAGGCCCCACGACTGGACCTCCCCCCCCCCCAAAAAAAAAAGAAAACTGGAAGGGAAGGGAAGCTCTAAGTGATAGAATGCTAGCCTTGAGCCAAAAAGCTTACCAACAGACAGCACCCAAGCCCTGAGTTCTAGCCCCACAACTGACTTATAAAAAAAAAGTGGATGTATCTGACCATGTATGAGCCTGACATTAAGGACATGAGCTTCCTCCAGCCTTTGCAAACCCTGTGTCCCTCACAGGTGGGTAATGAAGGAGGGTAGATCCAGGCTTGGGAGATGGAACAAACATGTATTAATGAATAGCTTGGTTAAAAGCATGTAAGCACTATTTTCTTTGCTTGAAGCCTTACATTTCCTCATACACTGCAATGTTAGTTAAAAAGAGAGAGGAAAAAAATAGTAGGTCTTGCCCTCTGACCCTGCCTGCTTGCCCATATAATTAGTATGCTCTAGAAACTAAAAGACATCTAAAACAAGAAACATATCCTGAGAAAATGACTCTTCATGACACAAAACATGTTTAGGGAAGAACACTTCCCTTGGGGATGGACAACTGTCCTGGCAGGAGCATGCCACAGACCCATCCTTGCAAGGATGCTCAGACATCCAGGCCATCCTCAGAATCTCAGTAAGTCAGGGTACCAGCAAAAGGGTTGAACACCAGAGGGCACTGGACAACCTAAGTGGTTGAGACCAGCCTCCCAGCAGGAAGCAGCGCGGCGGTGGGAGGGAGGACATTTATTTGGGGGGAGGCGCTGCTCTGGCTCTGACTGCCGGGCTCTAGAGTAGGACCTGTGACTTGGCCCATCCTGTAACATGGAGTTCCAGGCCAGAGACTGGACTCCACGGGTTCCACATGTCCAGTCTGGCCTCCTGCCCCAGTACCCCAATTAAAGACATTCATGCAAAAGTCAGGGATGGTGCAGCACTGGCATACCCAGCAGAGCAAAGTGAGCACTTCGGCGCATCTCTGGGTACAGACAGGAGCGTCAGGGGTGAGTAGGGACAGGGGCAGGGTTTTATTGAACAGCCTTGGTCACAGGCCATCCTGGCTGGTGAAGGTGGGGAAGGCCCTGCTGTCTGGGGGGAAGCTGTGACTTGTCCCAGGTGTCTTGCTCTTCACGGATTCCAAGGTGTGGGCTGGGAAGGTGGCTCAGTGGTAGAGCGCTTGCCTTGCAATGCATGAGGCCCTGGGTTCGATTCCCCAGCACCACATAAGCAAAAAGGAAAAAAAAGCCGGAAGTGGCGCTGTGGCTCAAGTGGTAGAGTGCTAGCCTTGAGCTGAAGAGCTGAGGGACAGCGCCCAGGCCCAGAGTTCAGGCCCCACAACCGGACCCAAAAAAACAAAAAAACAGATTCCAAGGTGACAGGGGAGAATGACTCTGAGCAAAGGAAATGATGCAAAATAGAGGCAGAGAGGCCAAGTTTGGATCCCAATTTTAGTACCTTTGCGGGCCCACTGCTTTGAGGAGTCAATACTTCTCAGCATCTAAGTACCATTGCCCCCCCCCACTCGGCTCCCCCCAGGACGCTAAGCCCTGACCAGGACAGCTCGGACGCACACCGTGCAGCAGGCTGCCTGCTCAGGAGGCCCAGCGACAGCCCCCACCCAGGTCCCATGCAGCCTGGGCAGGATTGGCAAGCAGGAAAACACTCCAGGGAGATCCAGCCTCAAGGAGGCCAGTGGAGAAAGGCCCTGACAGCTGCTAGAGCATGACCGTCAGCAGGACCGGCGAGCGGGGAGCAGGGAGGCAGAGTGCACGCCGAGGCTGGGAGGGTTGGCTTTAGTTGGCAACTGGCAGCTTTGTAAGGGCCTCCGAGTCCACCCTTTGGCTGAGGAAATGGCCTGCCTGGCACAGTGCTGGGGGCTGGGCAGACCCCTACTCACCAGACTGAGATCTGAGAATTAGGGCTCAAAGACAGCCCTGGCAGGAAAGTCTGTGAAACTTTTCTTTGCTGGTGTTAGAGTGTCTCTGCTTGTCTATCTGCTTGCCTTCTTACCTTCTCAATAAAGCTCTGTCCAGTGTTCTTACCATTGTGATTTGTCCAAAAATTCTTATTCACAGTCAAGGACCTTCAGTAAAGAGTCCCTACTTTTAGAGGGAAACTTCACAAACTTCATTGCATCCAGTGCTGCCTGCTCGCCACCTCATAGCAGCAGCGAGACCCCTGGCTTGTTTGGGAACCTCCTGAAAGCTGTGATCAGGACGGTCCCTCACCCACAGGTCCTTTCCCGCCAGTCACCTCTGTCCAGCACTACCATCGCAGGCCACAGGTCACCCTGTGCTGGGTAGCCAGCTGTGAGGAGCAGCTGCCACCTCTGATGTTCTCCAGCTTCCTGGCGAGCCAAGGATCTGGGATGCAATTTCTTAAAAGGAAGAAAAAGCCCTTTCTGCATGGCGTGGGAAACCCTCTTGTGTTCTGGCTCGCCTGAGTGGGCTCAAGTAGCCAAGGCCTGCTGTGGGCTTTGAGAGCCACAAAGCCATGCTTGTCCCCAGACAGAGATGGGCCTTGTTCGTGGGGATATTTGCTGTTGGCACAGACAGGCACAGAGTGGCAGCCACCAGCATCCCATCCGCCAGAGCAGCTGGCTGGGCAGTCAGTGTAGCCACTGTCCTGAAGATGTGAAGTTCTAATCTTGGGTCTCCTACTGGTCCAGTGTGGACACTCTCCCTCCAACCTGCAGATCCTCAGGCCCAAGCCCCTTTGCTAGTGCTGGCTCCTCCCTCCCCCTTGCTGATTTGTTGGTGGGGGTGGGGGGATGGCATTTAAGGACAAGAGTGATACAATTAGGGGAACTGCATTTGAACTTCAGCCAATTCTGGTTCCAGATCTGCTTCTGAAAGCTGCCCTGAGGCCAGCGCCAGCACAGGCCACGGACAGTACTCACTGCATGGCTACCATTTGCCACCTCTCATCTGCAGGCCAGGGGTACCCTAGCAGAAAGTGGGTAATCACAGGGCTCAGCCAGGCCAACTTGCCCTGATGCTGAGGGGGCCTGGGTCTTGGCACTGGGCAGGCAGAATGGGCAGCCCCATTCTGCCCTCGGGAAGGCAGCAGAGGGGATGCAATCAGGACTGCCAGGCACCAGTGGCTCCTGTCTGTAATCTAGCTCCTCAGAGGTCTAAGCCATGCTTCAAAGTCAATCCAAGCAGAAAAGTCTGAGGTACTATGTTTCCAGTTAACCAGTAAAGAACTGGGCTGGAGATGTTCAAATGGTAGAGCACCAGCTGTGAGCAAAAACAAAGCTAAGTGAGAGCTTGAGGCTGAATTTGAGCCCCGGGAACTGACATTAAACAAAACAAACAAAAACACCTCTTGGGCCCGGGGTTTAGAGCCTCCTTAGCTGCACTGAGGCCGCAGGGACAGTGGTGGGGGGTGGGGGTGGGGGTGGGGATGGGCAAGGAAGGCCGGTTGAGGAAGTACTGGTTCTGAGGGGCACAAGTTTAGCCTGTCCCAGGCTGGAGGCCCCCCGGTGTTCCAGACCATTCTGGGGAAGGCCTGTCCCTGCTGATGGTTGGGTGGGTGAGGCTAGAGGACAGCTCCTTGCTGAGACCAGGTGCCCCTGGGCCAGCAGAGGGAGCCGGCTGGGGCTAGGAAACCAGCCCCTCAACCATCCTCCACTTTCTCTCGGTTCTCTTGGGGTGGTGGCCCCTAGCCACGGTGGGAGTTTAGCCTTCTTCTTCAGGCCCACCAAGTCCAGCTTCTTCTGACAGATCTTGCTGGAAAGACTTGGTCCATTTAGGCCTGTCTGAATTGTCAGGCTGGAGCCTGCTGTATGATGAGCCATAATCCAGCCCCTACCAGGAACAAGCTGCAATTACCCCTGCCCACCCTCCTGGAACCCGAGGAAGATGCACCAGAGGATTGGGTCTCATGGCCAACTACCTCTCTGCCCCACCCCCACCCTCTTCTGGGGAATGAGAGGGCATGATCTGGCACCCCCTGGTGGCTACTCAGAGCAGCAGACAGAGCTGCCAGCAGAGGGTGCCAAAGGCCTCCAAGGCTGGGGCTCAGGCCAGCCCAGGTAAACGGGTGCCCCGGGCATGGATGGCCCCTGGCAGAACTTCAACTGGGCCCCATAATACCCACACCTTCCTTTTGGCATCACTCTCAGCTTCAAACAAAGCTCTCTAGATCTGGTTTTGGCCTTGCCTCAGACTTACCCCCATCGTGTGCCTGCTCCAGAGCTTCCAGGCTGGCTTTGCTCAGTCTGTGCCCCTTGAAGCCAGTCTGAGTGACAGGCTTTTGAACATCTGGATACCTGGCTTTGGACTGCCACAGTGGAGTAGGCAGGTGGGAAGGAGACAGTTTTCTGGACCACCTCCCGGCCTCTCTCCTTCCACAAATGTCTCCCAGACCCTTTTGATGAGCGTGGAAGCCTGCCCTCTGCCAGACAGCTCTTAGAAGACATCATCTTGGGGCCCTAAGATGCACCCCTCCCCAGGAGACAGACACATACTGCTTGGAGATAACTGGTTTAATGATGTAGCCAAGAGTCCCCACCTCTCATGCCCAGGTGTGATGCTCAGTGCAGGGCTGAGACACAGCTGTCACCAGCACACAGGAAGTGCCCACTACCTGGGGTTGATCTGGGCAGCTGTGGCCCAGCTCTGCAGGTGGGGGTGGGCATCGGTATGGGAAGCCAGTACCATGCCCCAAAGGGGGAAGCACACAGAACAACCCCCCACGGGGCCCTGGAGATGTCCCGTCCTGCCCAGACTCCCACCCCCAGGAGCAGCACAGAGGAAGACGGCTCTGGAGGCCAGGTCACCAGCCTGGCCAGTCTGGGGCCTGGGCCTGTCCTGCAGTGTGGGCAGATGGGTGTAGAAGCAAGCAGCTGGGGAGAGGCATGGAGATGGGGGTCAGAATGTCTGCCAGAGGGGAGGCCAGAGAAAGAGTCCTCACCCACCTGGGGGGCCCTGGGGCAGCGGGGCAGGTGGAGGAGGGCTGGCACTGCCCAGGCCAGGTTTGGCAGAGGCTGGCCTTGGTTTGAGAGGGGCCTGAGGGCCACCCACAGGTACTGCTGGGCCCGGGGGTGGGGGGACCTGGGGGCAGGCAGCCCGCCCCAGCCCGCCCATCATGTTCTCGGCATAAAATAACACACACACACAACAGAACTCCACGCCCTGGGCGGGCCGCGGGCCGGGTCTAGCTGTCCTCCGTCCTCCTGTGGCTCTTGGAATGAAACTTGCTCATGAGGTCCTCCAGCTCCGACCCGCTCTGCTGCTTCTAGGAAGGAGGGGGCTCAGGCCGCGCGGCGGGAGGCCCGCCCCCTGGCCCCCCCCCCCCCGCAAGGGGTCCCCCTCCGTCCCCTCACCCCGCGCGGGGCCCCCCGCCTCCCGGCCCCCCCCGCAAGGGGTCCCCCACCGTCCCCCCCCCGTGCGGGGCCCCCCCTCCGCCACCCCTGGCCCCTGCCCCCTGCCCCACCGCGCGGGGCCCCCCTCCGCCCCCTCTCCCCGCCTCCCCCCCCCCGCGCGGGGCCCCCCTCCGCCACCCCTGGCCCCTGCCCCCTGCCCTCCCGCGTGGGGTCCCCCTCCGCCCCCTCCCCCCCCCCGGCGCGGGGCCCCCCTCTCCCCGCCCCCCCCCCGCGCGGGGCCCCCCCTCCGCCCCCTCTCCCCGACCCCCCCCGCGCGGGGCCCCCCTCCGCCCCCTCTCCCCGCCTCCCCCCCCCCCCCCCCGCGCGGGGCCCGCTCACCTCCAGCACCGCCTTCTGCACGGTCAGCTGGCTGTACACGCGGATGCCCTCCTCGCCGCACACCTTCTTCAGCTCCTCCTTGTTCAGCGAGAACAGCTGGGGGGCCCGTCAGGATGCCCAGGTTCTCCACGATCCTGGGGGCGGCAGGGGGTGAGGGCGGGCGCGGGCCCCGCCCCGGCGCCCCCCGCACCCCAACCCCCAGCTCACCGGGCCGCTGAAGGCCTTGGCTTCCAGCCAGGCGCGGACTTGGTCGGGCCCCGACTCGTAGGTGAGCGGCAGCTGCACGGGCTGGCTGCGCTCCCACGCGGAAGTGTCGCTGCGGCTGCGCCTTGATGTGGCTGATCTTCTTCATGAGCTCGTCGTTGACCCTCGTCCATGTGGTGGATCAGCTCTGCGGGCGTGGTGCAGGTGCTCAGCCCCGCCCCCTCCGCGGGCGTGACAGGCGCGGGCCCCGCCCCTCCGTGGGCGTGGCGCGCGCAGCCCCGCCCTCTGCGGGGGGTGGTGCCCACAGGCGCTCCCCCACGGGCAGGGGCAGGTGCTCAGCCCCGCCCTCCGCGGGCGTGACAGGCGCGGCCCCGCCCCTCCGTGGGCGTGGCGCGCGCAGCCCCGCCCTCCGCGGGGGTGGTGCCCACAGGCGCTCCCCCACGGGCAGGGGCAGGTGCTCAGCCCCGCCCCTCTGTGGGTGTGACACGCATAGGCCCATCTCCGCAGGCGTGGTGCACGCAGCCACGCCTCCTCATGGGTGTGGCTTTCTTGGTTCCGCCCCGATGGGCGGGACAAGCACTCTTGCCCCTCCCCTCCCGCGGTGGCTGCCCTTGCTCCTCCCCCACAGGCCCAATGGCTCACCGTCTTTGTTTCCCGCAAAAGTTGGGGGCAGTTTGTGGGTTGGGCTGGAGGGACCCCAGTATTTCTGGTTCGCCTGTGAGGGTGAGGGAGGGGAGGCGCCGTAAGGCCTTGCACAGGCCACCCTGTCTTTCCTTCCCTTTGGTCAAGAGGAGCTCCAGTGCCAGCCTTGCATGGGATTGGGGACAGCAGTGTCCCCAGGTCAGCCCCAGTGTGGCGCTGAGACAGAGCCCAGGACAGCAGTGTCCCCAGGTCAGCCCCAGTGTGGCGCTGAGACAGAGCCCAGGACAGCAGTGTCCCCAGGTCAGCCCCAGTGTGGCGCAGAGACAGAGCCCAGGACAGCAGTGTCCCCAGGTCAGCCCCAGTGTGGCGCTGAGACAGAGCCCAGGACAGCAGTGTCCCCAGGTCAGCCCCAGTGTGGCGCAGAGACAGAGCCCAGGACAGCAGTGTCCCCAGGTCAGCCCCAGTGTGGCGCAGAGACAGAGCCCCGGCCACGGAGTCCAGGACAGCAGGGTCCCCAGGTCAGCCCCAGTGTGGGGCTGGGACAGAGCCCCGGCCATGGCCCTGGAGGACAGAAGAGCCCAGGACAGTTCGCACCTGATCCAGAGGCACCCCCACGTCCTCCGGCCGGGCCTCAGCCAGGATGTTACAGGGCACATAGCCGGCCTGGCCACTGCGATTCCGAAGCTTCCACCACTGCCGGCCATCCTCCATCACCTGCGGGGGGCGAGGGGGAGCAAGAAGGAGGTGTCAATTCGCTGTGGCTGCCACCCTGCTGGGGCCTCACCCCCCCAGACCACCACCCTGCTGGGGCCTCACCCCCCAGACCTCCACCTTCCTCACTCCCCCCAGACCCCCACCCTCCTCACCCCCCCAGACCCCCACCCTCCTCACTCCCCCCAGACCCCCACCCTCCTCACCCCCCCAGGCCACCACCCTCCTCACCCCCCCAGACCCCCACCCTCCTCACCCCCCCAGACCCCCACCCTCCTCACCCCCCCAGACCCCCACCCTCCTCACCCCCCCAGACCACCACCCTGCTGGGGCCTCACCCCCCAGACCTCCACCCTCCTCACTCCCCCCAGACCCCCACCCTCCTCACCCCCCCCAGACCCCCACCCTCCTCACCCCCCCAGACCCCCACCCTCCTCACTCCCCCCAGACCCCCACCCTCCTCACCCCCCCAGACCACCACCCTCCTCACCCCCCCAGACCCCCACCCTCCTCACCCCCCCAGACCACCACCCTGCTGGGGCCTCACCCCCCAGACCTCCACCCTCCTCACTCCCCCCAGACCCCCACCCTTCTCACCCCCCCCAGGCCACCACCCTCCTCACCCCCCCAGACCACCACCCTGCTGGGGCCTCACCCCCCCAGACCACCACCCTGCTAGGGCCTCACCCCCCAGACCTCCACCCTCCTCACCCCCCAGACCCCCACCCTCCTCACCCCCCCAGGCCACCACCCTCCTCACCCCCCCAGACCACCACCCTGCTGGGGCCTCATCCCCCAGACCTCCACCCTCCTCACTCCCCCCCAGACCCCCACCCTCCTCACCCCCCCAGACCCCCACCCTCCTCACTCCCCCCAGACCCCCACCCTCCTCACCCCCCCAGGCCACCACCCTCCTCACCCCCTCAGACCACCACCCTGCTGGGGCCTCACCGCCCCAGACCACCACCCTGCTAGGGCCTCACCCCCCCCAGACCACCCTGCTGGGGCCTCACCACCCAGACCACCCTGCTGGGGCCTCACCCCCCCAGACCACCCTGCTGGGGCCTCACCACCCAGACCACCACCCCACCGGCACCCCTTCCCTGGCTACCAGCACATGTGGGGTCCAGGGACCTCCCACCCCACCCACCTTAGCAGCCCCCTCTCCAGAGCCAGCCCTTGCTCTTCTGGTGCCATCTTAGACCCAGGACTTGCCCCTTCCTTGTCTGGCCTCTACTGTGTCCGGCAGGAAGTGTCCCTTGTGGTGGCTATAGGCCACCCTCCCTGTAGCCTACTCCACTTTCCATCCCTCAGTGGGTGGCCTGGTTTCAGCTGCTGCCAACAGAGCTGGTGCAGACAAGCTGGGCTGGCGGCAGGTGTGACAGCCCCCTCCCGCCTCACTGCAGGGTCCTTGCCACAGAGGGTCCCCAGACAGGAGGGCCACTCAGTCCCGCCATGCCCCAGGCCAGGAAGACCTGGCTTGGGGACCCAGGTGGGGCCCGGGGCCAGGGAGCCTGGGGACAGGGTCTGGCCGCTGCCTATGTCCTGGGTGGTCCTCACCAACCCTGCAGCCTGAACCTCACCTCCAGGACTTCATCCTTGAGCACAGAGAGCTCATTGGCGTTGCGTGCTGTGAAGTCATAGAGAATCTTCACGTACTTGGTCATGGCTGATGTTGGCTGGTAGCCCCTGAGCGGGAGAGGAGGGGTTGAGGCCCAGAGTTGGGCTGGGGTCTCCTCTGGGGCTGGCTGGCAGCTGACCTGCAGCTTTCTGTGGCACTGCCCAAATCTTGGCAGGGAGAGGCTGTGCTGCCAGCTCCAGCCAGGAATGGAAACTGTGACGCCGTGCTGGGGGGGAGGGGCTGGCGGGAGGTGGCAGGATGTACTCTTAAAGCTGGCCAACCCAGGCCCCCTCATGGGCTCCAGGCCTGCCCCCCCCCCCGGGAGGCGGGGGCCCGAACCAGGCACTCCTCGGGAGGGCAGTGTTCAGCCACAGCCATTTGGAGACATCGGATGCTTGCTGGATGGAGCACCTGCACCCCAGGGCACGGAGTGAATTCTGGCAGGGTCAGGCTTCAGGAGCAGAGAGGACAGGCAGGTTGATCATGTCTCCTATGTGCTTCTAGCTAGGACCCATGCTGACAGGGCTGGAGCTGATGACCCAGCCGCTCCCTCTGGAGACTGAATCCTGCTGTCTGGCAGATACCGGACTCTCCAGGCATCCCAAGGCCAGGAGGGTCCAAAGGTCTGTGCATCACTCACCTTGGGCTACAGTACGTAGGGAGTGGTTACTGGCCCAACCCTCTGTCCCCAAACCCTAAATCACTCTCACGATGCTTGGTGGAGCTGCCATTTAAGAGCAATGGTATATTAGATTTCTAACTTTTCTTTTTGGTCCGTGCTGGGGGTTGAACCTACGGGCCTTCTGAATTCTAGACAAGTGCTCTACTACCGAGCTATGTCCCTTTCTCCTTCCAACCTTGGTTCAAAACCAGAAACCATGAGAAGACCTGATGTATTAGGCCGGTGAATTCTTCTGAAACAACTTGAATAACTTGAAGTTTCCCCTTCAGTTCGGTGACAAAGTTAAGATGAAAACTAGGTGCTTTCTAATTTGGAAAAGGTTTTTTGTTTTTTTAGTTGTGGGGCCTGAACAGAGCCTGGGGCTCTGTCCTGGAGCTCTTCAGCTCAAGGCTGGCGCTCTACCACTTGAGCCACAGCGCCACTTCCTGCTTTTTCTGCTGAGGAATCGAACCCAGGGCCTCAGGCATGCAAGGCAAGCGCTCTACCACTGAGCCACCTTCCCAGCTCTGGAAAAGTATTTTTGAGGCACGTGGATGAAGGTTCTGACTCTGGCAGTGGCAGCTCAGGATGCAGTGTGCCGAGAGGCGTGGCCTGCGCTGGTGCGGGGACTGAGGGGCGTGGCCTGCGCTGGTGCGGGGACTGAGGGGCGTGGCCTGCTCTGGTGTGGGGACTGAGGGGTGTGGCCTGCTCTGGGCAGGGCTGTGGGGCGTGGCCTGCTCTGGTGTGGGGACTGAGGGGTGTGGCCTGCTCTGGGCAGGGCTGTGGGGCGTGGCCTGCTCTGGGTGGGGGTGAGGGGCGTGGCCTGCTCTGGGCAGGGCTGTGGGCGTGGCATGTTCTGGGTGGGGGCTGAGGTGCGTGGCCGGCTCTGGGTGGGACTAGGGGCGTGGCCTGCTCGGGGTGGGGGCTGAGGGGCATGGCCTGCTCAGGATGGGGGCTGAGGGGTGTGGCCTGCTCTGGGCAGGGCTGTGGGGCGTGGCCTGCTCTGGTTTGGGGACTGAGGGGCGTGGCCTGCTCGGGTGGGGCTGTGGGGCGTGGCCTGCTCTGGGCAGGGCTGTGGGGCATGGCCTGCTCTGGGTGGGGCTGAAGGGCATGGCCTGCTCAGGATGGGGGCTTCGGGGTGTGTCCTGCTGGGGGTGGGGGTCCTTACCTGTGAGCCTGTGGGGAGCTGAGGGGCGCGAAGGCTTCTGGGGGCCCGGCAGGCTCAGCGGAGAGGCTGTGCTTGGGGGAGTGTCGCGTGGACAGTCGGCTCATGGGGGTCAGCTGTGGGGAGAGTGGACAGACAGCCTGGTCTGTGGGGGCTGGGTGCGGGCGGGTGACAGGCCAGGGGCCCCCGAGCCCCGGCTGACCTGCTCCTCGGGCGCGGGTGCCAGTCCTTCCGCCTCCCAGGGAGCCTCCTGCAGCACGTCCAGGGGGGGCTCCCAGCCGCTGTGGAACTTGGGCACATAGGGGGGCACCTGAGGCTCCCGGGGCCACTCGGAGCTGGAGTGGGCAGGCCAGGGGGTCAGTCCCGGGACATCAGAGCTGACCCCCCGCCCCCGTCCTGTTCCCCCACGCTGTACCGGGGCCTCGTCCAGGTCTCCCCCAGCGACTCCCACAGTGCCATCTCCTTGGGGACCAGGTGGCCGCGCAGGAAGCCAGCGGCCTCCCGGGAGAGCAGGGGGCTGAGCACGGAGCGTGCGATGTCTGGGCCTCCACAGGTGTTGACAATCTGAGGGACGGTACGGTTCAGAGGGAGCCGCGCCATGCACAGCAGCTCCTCCACAGGGCCTGGGCCCCTGAGAGCCTGGCCACAGCCCACATGAGCTGCCCAAGGTGGGCACAGGCTCCCCCCCTCCCCCTCCCCCCCCAGTCCCGCCCTGCCCGGCCCCCGGCCCCAGGCACCAGGTCCAGAGGCCCGAAGAGGAAGTGCACCAGCTCTGCTGCACTGGGGTTCTGGATGTGCTTCTGCAGCTTTGCCTGCAGGGAAACAAGCGGCAGGTGACAGGTGACAGGTGGGCGGTGGCAGCCGGCCTCTGCCCTTGCCGCCCGCACAGGCCGCTGACTCACCAGCAGGTTGATGGCCAGCTTGGTTTTCTGGAAACAGTCAACAAATTCTCCCTCGGAGGGGGGCCGTGCCCGCAGCGTGAGGACTCCCTCTAGCATGGGGTGAGGAGTTGGGTGTGCGCGGCTCCAGCCACGCTGCGTCCATCCAGCCTGCCCGCTGTCCCGTGCCAACCCACCCATGCCCGTCCTGACCCCGCCCATGTGGCCCACAGCGGCTCGGCCGCCTCCCCCCTGTGGTCCTCTCCCCTGCCCCCCTGCGACCCCTCTCCTCTGTCCCCCAGTAACCCTCCCCTCTGTCCCTACCTGCCGGCCCTTTCTTCCCCTTCTTCTTCCCTTTCTTCCTCTGGTTCAGCTGCTTAAAAGCCTCTGCTGCCTTCTGCAGCCGGGCCACGAACCACTCGATGTCGTCCAGAGCACAGTTGAGGATTTGCTGGGGTTGGAAGGGGACGGGGGTCAGCTGTGGCCATCTCCTCCCTTAGGGAAGAGTCGAGGGACAGGCACGGGCCTGGGGGGAGGGGGGAGGCCCGGCCAGGCTGGACACCCACCGTTTCCTTCTCAATCCTCTGAGCCAGCACAGCCCGGGGCTCCTCGTCCTGAGACTCTCGATGGCGGAAGCCTGGCAGAGACCGAGCAAGACAGGAGAGACCCCGTCACCCCCGGCCTCGGACCCTGGGAGACCCCGTCACCCCAACCTACTTGGCTCACTGAGTGGCACTGGGGGGCCCACGCGGTTCTTGGCCTGGGGAGACTCTCCGGCCCGGTGCTGGAAGGGTATGGGGGCTGGGGGCTGGGGTGGGGGCAGGATGGACTGCCGCTGCCGGATCTTCTCCTGGTGGCCTCTGGAGGGAAAGAAAGGCCTGGCTCAGCCTGTCAGGGGTCCTGGGCTGGGTCCTGCCTCCTGATGCCCTCCCAACCCTGTCCACAGCCCCGCGTGAGACCCGCCACCTGCGGCCCTCCCGGCCCTACTTCAGGGTCTGGGGCCGCGTCTTCTTCCCCAGGCGGCAGTCGGCCAGCGCGCTCTCAATGTCCTCCTGCACCAGCTCTGCCTAGGGACACAGGCATGTCGGCTCAGCTCGGGGCGCCCCCAGCCCTCCTGGCAGTGTTGGGGTGACCCCGTGCAGCTCAGGGCGACCCCATGCCCACCCGGCAGTGTCGGGGCGACCCCTTGCAGCTTGGGGTGACCCCCGGCCCACCCGGCAGTGTCCGGGAGGCCCCGTGCAGCTCGGGGTGACCCCGGCCCACCCTGGCAGTGTTGGGGCAACCCCAGGCCCACCCGGCAGTGTCCGGGAGGCCCATGCCCGGCCGCCTGGCTCACCTCAACCTCGTCGCAGTGGAAGAAGTGGATGTCGGGCTTGGTCTGCTCCGAGTCCTGGCACACCAGGAGCAGCACGGAGGGGTACCGCAGCTGATTCAGCACTGTCTGGCTGTGCTGCACAGTGGGCAGCGGGAAGTTCTCCAGCTCCTCCTAGGGACAGGCAGTGGACACAGGCTCGGACCCCAACATGGGGCGGGCCTCGAGTGCGGCCGCGCACAGGGACTTTGGTCCACAGACATCAGACCTGCACAGACCTGCAGGTGCACGAGAGCCCAGGCCAGACACGGCCCAGACACGGCCCACAGGCATAAACACAGACAGCGATAGGACCGGCCAGGGCCGCTGTGGCCCAGAGCACTGACCCTGGACACAACTGGGCCTGGCTGGCTCACCGCAGCCAGCCAGTTCTTGAAGATGAGGGCTGGGCTGCGGACATGGCCACAGCAGACACTGAGTGGAGCCCGCACAGGCTGCCCAGAGAGGCCGAGACTCAGCTGTGCCGGCCTCCTGCGCGCCGTCCGCACCCTTCCACGGGCCAGATGGGGGCGCTCCATTGGCGGAAGCACAGGTCAGGCCCAGCGTCTGCCCGCCTGCTCCCCGGCCCCATGGCCAGCGGGTACCTGAGACTCGATGTCCAGCAGCCTCAGCGACTTGTCGTTCACTTGCAGCAGCACTTCCTGCGCCCACACCTTCTCCTTGGAGCTCAGCTGCACCAGCTTCCGGATGGCATCATCCACCGATGTGATGGCCTCACTCTTGTCCATGATGAATGTGGCCAGGTGCTGGGGAAGGGTCGGCGGTCACTGCTTGTGCCCACGCTAGCCTCGACGGCTGCCCCAGAGCAGCCTGGGACAACGGCTTCCTGTGGGAAGCCGGCTCAGGATGGGGAGTCTCCGTTCTGACTCAGGGTCATGATTGTGTGCTGAATAGGACCTTTAAACAATTCCCGACTTGGGGCTGGGAAGGCAGCTCCCTGGTCGAGTGTCCGCCTAGCCTGCCTGAAACTCTGGGTTCCATTCCTCAGTACCCCATTCCCACAAAAAGCCAGAAGTGGTAGAGCGCTAGCCTTGAACAAAAAGAAGCTCAGGCATGGCGACCAGGCCCCCAGTTCACGACCTGAGACTGGCAAAAATAAATAAATAAGACCAACTCCAGATCCTCTGCAGCCTTGTCCAATGGCCCTCACTCCTCCCATCCCCGGACACTCCGCTCCAGGGCGGCCTCCCTCCGGAGGCTGTGCCTTTGCCTGCAGCCCTCCTTCGCTGACTGCATCCTCTCTGGCCACTTTGGTGGCCATTCCTCAGACCCCCCCAACCCATGGTGTGTGCCTGCCACAGCCTGGGGCTGGGGTTGTGCTGTCTCCCTCGTCTGGGGCAGCACTGGCCCAGGAAGACCGTCAGAGGGTGTGCACAGAACCAAAGCATCCCCGGGCCCTGGGGCCGGCGGCCCTGCCTGCCCTGTGTCTTCTCTCCAGGAGCCTGGCTCAGGCACTTTCCCTGCTTTTCCTGAGTGAAACCCTCCCACAGAGACTCGAGATTCAGTAAACAGTGCTGGGAAAGCTGGATAAATGCAGGATGGAAGCCAGGACAAACAGGCTGACCTAACTGAAAAACTTGACAAGGCAATAAAAGCACTGGAAGGAAATTTAGGAAGCCAGGTGCCAATGGCTCACACCTATAATCCTAGCTACTCAGGAGGCTGAGATCTGAGAATCACGGTTCAAGGCCAACCCTGCCCGGAAAGTCTGAGACTCTTATCTCCAATTAACCACCTGAAAACCAGAAGTGGCGCTGTGGCTCAAGTGGTAGAGTGCTCACTTTGAGCTGAAGAGCTGAACAACAGCGTCTAGGCCCAGAGTTCAAGCCCCATGACTGACCAAAAAAGAAAATACAAAATAATTTCTGATTATCTTAGAAGAGCCTTTCCACATTGCACTTTTCTCAGCAAGGACGCTCGAAAGACCAATAAATTTAACTTAATAACAAAATTAGAATTTCTGGCTGGGGGTATAGCTCAGAGGTAGATTGCATGGCTGGAATGAACAGTGCTGGGATCAGTCCCCAGCACCAGAATATAAAAAGAAAAATTCTAGCTGGGCGTCGGTGGCTCACACCTGTAATCCTAGCTACTCAGGAGGCTGAGATCTGAGGATCACGGTTCAAAGCCAGCCCAGACAGGAAAGTCTGAGACACTCTTATCTCCAATAAACCACCAGAAAACTGGATGTGGCACTGTGGCTCAAGCAGTAGAGCACTAGCCTTGAGCTGAAGAGCACAGGGACAGCGTTCAGGCGCAGAGTTCAAGCCCAACGACTGACAAAAAAAAAAAAAAAATTCTATACCTCCCATCCTAGTACTCAGAGGTAGAGACAAAGGGTTGTGAGTTCAAGGCCAGCCAGGACTATATACTGAGACTGTCAAACAAAAAAAAAAGGCTCAAAAAAAGACTTCCTGTAAGGCAGGTGCTGGTGGCTCACACCCGTAATCCTAGCTACTCAAGAGGCTGAGATCTGAGTTTTGTGGTTTAAAGCTAGGAAAGTCCCTGAGACACCCATCTCCAATTAACTACCAAAAAGCAGAAGTGGAGCTGTGGCTCAAGTGGTAGAGCACTAGCCTTGAGCACAAAAGGTCAGGGACAGCACCCACGCCCTGAGTTCAAGCTCCAGAACTGACTGGCAGAAAAGAAAAAAAAAAAAAGCAAGAAAGAAAGGAAGAAAGGAAGGAAAAAGAAAAATTAGAAGTCAGAAAAACATAGGCAATAAATATAAAGGGCTAATTTTCTTTTCTTTCCTCTCCCTCTCCTCTCTCTCTCTCTCTGTATTAGGATTTGAATGCTGGGCTTTGTGCCTTGTGTTTGGTAGACAGTACTCAGTACTCTACCATTAGAACCAGTCTTTCAGCCCATTTTGCTTTTGTTATTCTTCTGCGGTGTCTTGACCCCCTTCCTGTCTGCGCTTCCCATGGAGGGGCAGGCGTGGGCCACTGCACTCAGCTTTTAATTGGCTGAGATGAACTCTTGGACACGTTTTGCTGACCCCTTTAACTGTGATTCTTTCTCATTTCTACCTTCCAAGCAGCTAGATGTCAAATGTGAGCCAACATAACAGCTGCTGTCATTATTTTTCTATAATGTTCAATTTTTAAATCTTTTTTGTCAGTCATGGGACTTGAACTCTGGTAGGCGCTGTCCCTCAGCTCACGGAAGCATTCTACCTCTTGAGCCACAGCGCCACTTCCTGTTTTCTGGTTGTTAATTGGAGAAAAGAGGCTCACTGACTTTCCTGCCCAGGCTGGCTTTGAATTGTGAGCCTCAGATCTCAGCCTTCTGAGTAGCTAGGATTATGGGTGTGAGCCACTGGCACCTGGCAATTTTTCAATTTTTAATTTTTTGCTGGTCCTGGGGCTTGAACTCTGGGTCTGGGCTTTGTCCCTGAGCTTCTTTTTTATTTTAGTTTTGCTCAAGGCATGCACTCTACCTCTGGAGCCACAGCTCCGCTTCTGGCTTTTTGGTGGTAATTATTTTTTTTTGTTGTTGTTGTTTGTGTATTGTTTTGTTTTGGGTTGTGGGCTTGAACTCTATCCCTCAGCTCTTCAGCTCAAGGTGAATGTTCTACCACTTGCGCCACAGCGCCACTTCTGGTTTTCTGGTGGTTAATTGGAGATAAGAGATTCACATGCCAGGCGCCAGTGGCTCACACCTGTGATCCTAGCTACTCAGGAGGCTGAGATCTGAGGATCTCGGTTCAAAGCCAGCCCGGGCAGGAAAGTCCACGAATCCCTTATCTCCAATTAGCCACCAGAAAACCAGAAGTGGCACTGTGGCTTAAGCGGTAGAGCCCTCGCCTGGTGCTGAAGACCGCAGGGACAGCACCCAGGTCCAGAGTTCAAGCCTCACGACTGACCAAAAAGAAAAAAAAAAAAAAGGAGATTCACAGCCTTTCCTGCCCAGGCTGGCTTTGAACCTCGATCCTCAGATTGCAGCCTCCTGAGTAGCTAAGATTACAGGCGTGAGCCACCAGTACCCAGCCTAAATTACTTTTTAACATAGTAAATTGCATGCACTCATTGAATATAAGAACTGCAAACCAGTCTTCTTTCTTTCTTGCATCAATGGCGGGTGGCAGCTTCTGAGGGGGAAGCCGATAACCGCCGCCCACACGGGGGGGGGGGGGGAGATGTCTTCCTTACACCCTATTTTGTGCTCTCTTGCAGTGCCTGAGTTCGCCAGCATGAGTGGTACTGCCCAGTCATTCACAGATGGTTCAGTCTGGTAACAAGTACATCCAGCGAACCAAGCCTCTCACCCTGGAGCGCACCATCCCTCTCTACCCTCTTACCGATTGCGCTTTTGGTACGAAAGAGCCCCTCTATGAAAAGGACAGCTCTGCTGCCGCCAGATCTCAGCGCATGAGGGAGGAATTTGACAAAATTGGAATGAGGCGGATGGTAGAAGGGGTTCGGATTGAACATGAGCACCAGCTGTTACAGCTGGGAACAACCGTCTTCAAATTACCTGGTGGTGAACTTAACCCAGGAGAAGACGAAGCTGAAGGACCCAAACCCCTCATGACAGAGATACTAGGTCGACAAGATGGAGCTCTGCCAGGCTGGGTCACTGATGGCTGCATTGGGAATGGGTGGAGACCAAGCTTCGAACCTCCTCAGTACCCATATATGCCTGCCATATTACAAAGCCTAAGGAACATAAGAAGTCGTTTCTGGTTCTGCCTCAAGAGAAAGCCCGGTTTGAAGTTCCCAAAAGTTACAAGTTGGTAGCTGCCCCGCTGTTTGAATTACATGGCAATGCACCAGGACATGCCCCATCATTTCTAGTCTCCCTCAGTTGTTGAGCAGGTTCAATTTCACATACAACCGACTTCCTGCATGGAGGAGAAGTTGAAGCCATTTCTGTGAGCACAGCTGAACACAGTGTGGAATAATAAATGTGGTAGAAGTTCTGGTTTTCTCTCTTTTCCATCCCTAAATCTCCACCTATTTTCTATTTGAACAGTAATGTTCATATGAAAAACTAGATAGTGCAAACAAGTGTGATAATGTTAACTTTTGGTTCTACTCATACTTTTTGTTCAACATTAAAGAACATGAACATCTACTTGTATTTTTTAAAATTTTAATTTCTCATTAAACTCTGAAAAAAACTTAAAAAAAACTGCAAACCATAAACTGATACTCTAAGACTATTATTTTAGGAATGAACAGACCATTGAAATTTTTACCTCCTCTACAATACGACAGAGTCCTGTGCTCACTCCTCCTCTACACAGAGTCCTGTGCTCACTCCTCCTCTACACAGAGTCCTGTGCTCACTCCTCCTCTACACAGAGTCCTGTGCTCACTCCTCCTCTACACAGAGTCCTGTGCTCACTCCTCCTCTACACAGAGTCCTGTGCTCACTCCTACTCTACACAGAGTCCTGTGCTCACCCCTCCTCTACACAGAGTCCTGTGCTTCCTCCTACAAGCTAAGATGTGGAGACAGGAGCACCTGAGCCCAACGCCTGCCCAGCCTTCTGAAGAGAGTCGTGACACTCACAGAGGTACAACCACCTTGCTTTCCAGTTCTACGTCAGGAAACCTACACAGGTACAAAATGTGGCACAGGTACAAGCTTATTCACTGCAGAACCACCATAATAATAAAAGCTAGGCCCAGCTGATATGTGCACCAAAGTCAAATAATGAGTGGATATACAGCGTGGAATAGGAGGAGCTCTCCTGTGTTTAAGAGGACAAAACCTGAAACGCAGGGCTAGCAAAACACACCCTGCACGAACAAAACCATGTTGTTAAGCTAACAAAACAAGTCTTAGAGCATTTCAGATGGGGGCTAGTGGCTACTCAGGAGGCTGAGACCTGAGGCTGCCACAGTTTGAAGCCAGCTGGGCAGGAAAGCCTTGAGAACCTCATCTCCAATGAACCACCAAAAAGCCAGCACTGGGGCTGTGGCTCAAGTAGTAGAGCATTAGCTTGAGGCAAAGAAGCTCAAGGACAGCTCAGGCCCTGAGTTTAAATTCCAAGGCTGGAACCATACTGAGCATATGTTCTTTGACCATACTAGAATTAAAGTAGATATCAATAATAAAAACTTAGAAAATTGCCGGGTGCTGGTGGCTCACACCTGTAATCCTAGCTACCTTAGAGGTTGAGATCTGAGGATCAAAGCTAGCCCAGGCAGAAAAGTCTGTGAGACTTTTTCTTTTTGCCAGTCCTGAGACTTGAACTTAGGGCTTGGGCACTGTCCCTGAGCTTCTTTTGCTCAAGGCTAGTGCTCTACCACTTGAGCCACAGCACCACTTCTGTCTTTTTCTGTTTATGTGGTGAAGAGGAATCGAACCCAGGGCCTCAGGCATGCTACGCACCCAGGGCCTCAGGCATGCTATGCAGTATGCTACCAATAAGCCACATAGTATCCAATTAACCACCAACAAACTGGAAGTGGTCCTGTGGTTCAAAGTGGTAGACCATTAGCTCTGAGCAAAAGAGCTCAGGTTTGCCCAGGGCTGGAGTTCAGGCCCCATGACTGACAAAGCAAAACAAGCAAAAAACTCAGAAAATGGGCTGGGAAGGTGGCTCAGTGGTAGAGTGCTTGCCTTGCATGCATGAGGCCCTGGGTTCGATTCCTCAGCACCACATAATCAGAAAAAGCCAGAAGTGGCACTGTGGCTCAAGTGGTAGTGTACTAGCCTTGAGCTGAAGAGCTCAGGGACAGTGTTCAGGCCCAGAGTTCAGGCCCCATGACCATCACCACCACCACTATCACTACCACCACCAACAACAACAAAAACTCAGAAAATTGCCAAATATTTGAAATGAAGCAATTGAAGATATAGGTCAGTTGTACAGCACATGTCTAGATGCAAAAGGCTATGGGTTCAATCTCTATCTTTGCATATAAACAAGGCCAGGCCAGGAGCTAGTAGTTCATGCCTGCAATCCTAGCTACTTAGAAGGCTGAGGTCTGAGAATTGAGGTTTGAAGCCAGCCCGGACAGGAAACAATTAACCACCAACAAGCTGGAAGTAGAGCTGTGGCTCAAGTAGTAGAGCACTAGTCTTAAGCTTAGTAACAGACACCAGGCCCAGAGTTCAAGCCCCATGACAGACAAAAAAAGAAAAAGAAAAGAAAAATACTAGCTAGAACATTAAATCCCTAAAACAAAAGAGGGGCCATCTCTACAAATCACACAGACAATAAAGTTAATTAATAGCCAGAATTTCCTACCAAGAAACCCTGTGTGCAAAAGATCTAAGTGGTGAATTCTAACAATATTTAAGGGGAAAATATCAAGTTTCTCAAGTTTCTTTCTGAAAAAAGGAGGAAGGAATACTCTCCCACTGTCTTTTTCCCCCTACTGTCTTATAAGTTCAACCCGACTATGATACACAAACCTGCCAAAGACATTAGATGAGAAAGTTATAAATTCAGACTTGTAATGAACATTGATGCAAAAACCCCTAGGGGCTGGGAAGGTGGCTCAGTGGTAGAGCGCTTGCCTTGCATGCATGAGGCCCTGGGTTCCATTCCTCAATAGCACATAAACAGAAAAAGCCAGTGGTGCTGTGGCTCAAGTGGTAGAGCTAGCTTTGAGCTGAAGAGCTGAGGGACAGCGCCCACGCCCAGAGTTCAGGCCCCATGACCGACCAAAGAAAAAAAAAAAAACCTAAACAAAATGTCAGCGAATTAGTGCATGGACACAAAGAAGTATAATGTATCTTGAATAAGTGATGTTTATTCCAGAATGTAAGGCTGATTCAATATTGAGGGGAAAAAAATCAGTGTATGGTGATACACACCTATAATCCCAGTTACTCATGAAACAAAGGGGAATTGCCAGTTCTGGTCCAATCCAAGCAAAGTTAGGGAGACCTATCTAAAAATGAAAATACAAAAGAAAAGGGGTGGGGGTATGGTGCAAGTAGTAGAGTCCTTTCAGAGCATGCGTAAGACCCTAGATTCTACCCTAGTACTCAAAAAAATAAATCACTAGGTGCTGGTGGCTCATGCATGTAGTCTTAGAGATTCAGGAGGGTGAGATCGAAGGATGGTGGTTCAAAGCCATCCTGGGCAGGAAAGTCTGTGGGACTCTTTTCTCCAATTAGCCACCAGAAAACTGGAAGTGGATCTGTGGCTCAAAAAACCTCAGGGACAGCACACAGGCCCTGAGTTCAAGCCCCAGGATTGGCACAAACAAACAAAAAGCCCCAGCAAAACCCACAAAATATTTGTTGGCAAATTAGATGATTTAATAAATAGAAAGACATCCCATGCTCATGGATAGGAAAAGGCAATATTGTTATAATATCAAGTCTCTCAAATTGTGCTTATATATTTGACTAGGAGCCAAATACATTCCAGTAGTCCTTCTTTGGAGCAGAAATAGGCAAACTGATTCTAAAATTTATATGTAAGTCCAAAGAGTTTAGAATACTAAAGAAGAAAGTCTCATCTGGATATCGAGAGGTATGTCTCGGTGGCCCAACTACTCAGGGGGCTGAGGCCAGATGATGGTCTAGGCGTTCTAGACCAGCCTGGACAACAGAACAAGAGCTCATGAAAGAAAGGAAGACAAGAGAGAAAGAAAGGAAGGGAAGAAGGCAGGGAGAGAGAGAGAGAGAGAGAGAGAGAGAGAGAGAGGAATGGAAGAAAAAGAACAAAGTTGGAGAACTTGCATGGCCTGATTTCAAGATGAATGAGTCAAAGCATGTATCTGGCCTAACAGGTCAGTGAAATGAAGACTTCAGAAACAGACCCACCCATGGTCAATCAGTGTTTAACAACCGGCACCAGAGATGCTCCATGGCGTATGAAAACCTACTCAGCACAGGCGTACATTCATCTGAGAAAAAAGCCTGGTCCCCGCCTCACACGGGCAAAAGCAAAAAGAATTTAAAGCTGATCGCTGTCCTAGCTGCAGAGACTGCACTAGGCCTGGACACGAGAAACACAGAAGGAATCCTGTCTTGGTGAGGCGACAACTCTTTTGGAGAGAAAAACCAAACTAGGAAAGAAAACATAGTTATGCCTGGATGTCATCAAAACAAACATTTCTACTCAACAAAGGATAGCGGTAAAAGCCAGGTGCTGGTGGCTCTCACTTGTAATCCTAGCTACTGAGATCTGAGGATCCAGGTTCAAAGCCAGCTGGGGCAGAAAAGCCTTTTGAGACTCTTCTCTCTAATTAACTAGCAAAAAGCTGGAAGTAGAGGTGGGGCTCAAGTGGTATTGTGCCAGCCTTGAGTGAGAAATCCAAGTGAGAGCACTAGGCCCTCAGCTCAAGGCCCAGTATTCACACTCACACACACACACACACACACACACACACACACACACACACACACACACACACACACACACACTTCCCTGTGAAGTCAGAACACCTTTGCCTTTGTATGCAGAAATAGAGCAGAGCGGGGAGAGACCCCGGGCTGGGCTGACTGGTAGAGATGCCCCACACCCTCGGGCTGGCAAATCCCTACCCTCTGCATAGCTCCTTAAGCTAAATTCACAAAGCAGAGAACAAAGGAGACTGGGAATTGAAGGACCTCATTTCCAAAAAGACAAAACTGTAACAATGGACACTGGTCAGATCGGGGGCAGGGGGGCTGCAAACACACCAGGGGCCCTGCAAGAGCTTGGGGTGCTGACGGAGCTGTCCTGGGCCCTTGGCGTGGATGGTACCAGAAACACCCCTGCCCACTGAACTGTGTGGAGAGTTAGACGCAAGGCCAGGCTTCCGTGGCCCCCTTGCAGCTCAGCCGCTTCTTCACTGGGTGGGGCAGAAAAGCTCTACCACTTCCACCCTTGTTGGCCTTCACCCAGGCAGGAAAGGCCCCCACAACAGCGAGGCTGAGCCAGGCCAGCGTGGTACAGAGTCCAGTGGCCAGCCTGGTGGCCCCAGGTGGTTGCTCAGCAAGGAGGGCAAAGTCCTACCTCGGAGAAGGACGGCAGCGCCATCCAGGAAGGTAGGGACCAAGTGGAATCATCCGTCCCTCTGAGCCCTGTTGCTGGCAATGGTCACCGCCACCCGCGGGCCCTGGTGGGTAGGACCCTGGTACCCCCAACACAGCTGCACTCAGGAGCCCGGGACACTCCTGCTGGTCCCTGGGACCCACGGCACAGAGGAGGAAGCCAGGCTGGGGCCAGCAGCCTGCCTCAGCCTGAGGGGGGCGGGTGGAGCCTGGGAAGGAGGCGAGGACAGCAGGAGGGCCCGGGGCCCAGCGAGCCACGGCCCGGGCTGACGGCACAGAGGATCCCGGTCCTGTCCTCTCCCCATCTTCCTCACCCATGGTCCCACAGACCTGGATCATGGCTAGGAGCCTGGCCAGCTCCCAGGCATGGAGGGCCGTTTAAAAACCTATTTCCCGAGTTCTGTGAATTAAAACGGACCTAGGAGAAGGCTCTCCAGATCTGGCAGCTGGTCAAAGGGCGCAGGGTGCTGGCCCAGCCCGGTGCGGCCTCCCCGGCTCCCAGCAGCACTCCATAAAGGACCTCTTTGTTCCAGTGCCTCCCTCCGGAGCCAGTTCCTTGTTTTGGGGCCAGGGTGACAGCTTCCTTCCCATAGAGGGCTACATGGCACTCAGGGTGGTGTTGGCCAGACACCCACGGCCCTGCTGGCCCACTGAGAGCTTCTCTGAGCTGCAGCGGCCAGGACCACCCCAGCTCTGACCTGTTTCCCACCTGCCCAGAGCGCTGGGGACAGAGGCGCTTCCTGGGCATGTCTCACCTGGACGTGGTACTGCGAGGTCTCGTGCATGATGACATTGGAGTTGGAGTACTTCTTCCTCTGCTCTGGAGGGAAACAGCTGTCACCCACCCAGGAGGTGAACCCCATGGCCCGTGGTCCAGGGGGTGCTGGGCCCCCAGGGGGACCCCCAAGGAGGGTGGAGCTGAGGCGAGGGGGGCTGTCCCGTGAGCCCTCACAGCCAGCAGGAGGGACAGCACGGTGCGAGGTGGGAGTGGACCTTTCCTGGAACCCTGAAGGTGTCCAGGAAGCCTGTGCTGAGGCCTCGGGCGGGGAAGGACCAAGGCTTAGAGAAGATGGAGAACCCAAGGGGCCTGCCTAGAGTGGGGACTGTCCTGGGGCGGGCGGGAGGCTCAGCCTCACCCCACAGAGGCTGCCCTGTTCTGTGCCACTGTCCTAAGGGAGGGGCCTGGGCCACAGCTTCCCCACCCCAAGAGCCACCCAAGAGTCTCTGGGCTGCGGGGCTTGGTGCGTTGCCAGCTGTGGAGCACCGAGCATCAGAAGGCAGGGAGGAGGGTGTGGTAGATCCACGGAGGGGCTGTGACCAGGCTCCCCTGGAGCAGACACTTGGCAGCCAGGCCTTCTGGCCCCCTCGATCGGGTTGCAGGGCTGCACGGTCGAATCAATATTGATGCTCCCTGAATTATTCGTAAAGGCCTCTCCCCTTACGGAGTGGGGGCAGGGTGTTCGGTGGCAGGAGCTTGGGGGACAGACCACCAGTCCTCTCAGTGAGTCAGGGTCCAGAGGCCTCCTCCAGTCCCTCGGGGCCGGACCAAGGCCTGGACGCACAGGGGCAGGAGGTGCAGGCTCCACGTCCCCCCGCCCTCCAAGCCCCACTCACCAAACAGGTCCTTGGCGCTCATCTTGGCCACACCAGCCACACTGTCAGACCGGCCCAGGCTGCCACTGCAGGGTTAGTGGCAAGTGAGGAGGCCCACCCACTCCACTCCCACCCCCGGGACTGTGCCTTGGGACTGGGGGGGGGCTGGGGTCTTACTTGGCAGCACCCGGGCAGCAGCTCATAGACCCCAACTGGCTCATGGTGAACTTGGTGGCAGCCAGAGGCAGGGAGGGCAGACCTTCATGAGACCAGAGTCTGGGGTCAGTGCCTGGCCCTGCCTCCCGTGAGGACAGGAAGCCAGGCTGGCACTTCCCCTACCAGGCCCACGGCTTTGCTATTCCCAGGACTGGACCTGTGACTTTGCTGCTGGGGTTGTCCCGGGCTCTCCCCTCCCCCACTCAGGTCCAGGCCCACAGCCCTCAGTGGCCAGGTCTTCAGGGAACAGAGTCCATGGTCCGTGCCCCAGAAGGTGTCCACTGAGGTCTCATTTCTACCCAGGCCTTTAGCCTCGCATGGGAATCCCTCGGAGGCTGCTGGAGAGGCTCTGAAGTGGGACCAAGGGTGAACGCCCGGACCCACCTCTGAGCAGAGAACAGCTCAGTCAAAAGCCCTGAGGCAGGGGGCCTGCCAGGGGGCAAGGGGCAGGAAAGGGCGGGGCCTGAGTGAGCAGACCGTTCCTACCCTACCACAGGCTCTGCCACGGTGCCAGTGCCCATGCACGGCTGCTGCAGAGGCCGGCCCTTGGCTTCCTCGTGGGTCAGAGAGCCAGTTCAGGGAAGGATCGTGTGGGCTGTTCCCTGGGGTTCTAGGTACCCAGAAGGCAGACTGAGGGGTACAGGGTCTCTTTACTCTGGGGTGTCCAAGAGCAGGCCTTGATCGCAGGGATAGCAAGGGTTGGCTCAAGGGAGGACAGGGATGGGGTTCAGAGGTAAGACTGGCACCCTGAGTCTCCACCGCAGACCAGAGCCCTGTCCTGGCCAGGGCCTCTCCAGGGGTGGAGCCCCCACCCGGGCCTCCTTCTGGCTGCATTTTTGGGAAACAGGCTTGACGGCTGCAGTGAGCAGGTGTCTGAACTGGGCTTTCCCCAGGCCAGCCCCATACCGAGTGGGGACCTCCAGTCAGGTTATCCTCACAGCCCTGAAAGGGGAGCTGGGTTCACATGTCTTCCACCTCCTTCACAGTGAAGGAGACGGGGGGGGGGGGGGGGGGGGTGTCCAGAATGTCTGGGTCTGCTGGGGTCGGGTCAGCAGCAGGGGAGTGGCAGGAGGACAGAGGGACAGTCCTGCGCCCCGGCTGCTCCGTGCCTTCCGGTTTGACCAGGTCCCAGGGGACTCCCCGCCCTGGGCCTGCTCCCCCTGGTCCCCGTCACGCCATTAGGGCTCTGGCTTGCCCGAGGGGGCTTGGCCAGATTCTTCCGTCCACCTAGCCATGGAGAATGTCCGGAATGCTCATGACCTCAGTGGGCGAGTCCAAGTGTTTGCTTCATAGGATTCCTGGCTCCACCAAGGGCTCAGAGCACGTGGGGCCAGGTACACACACCTGAGCAAAACAAACCAGCACAGACCCGGCCTGCAGGCGCACAGACCTGTGCAGGCTGCGACACGCAGCCTCCCCTTTAAGTCTAGGCTGGGGCTCCAGCCCCAGGTTGGGGGAGAGGACTTCAGGGCTACTCCCAGCACCCCAAATCTCACCCCCAGGGCCTTCCTCAGTGAGGAGCCACGTAACCTAATGGCAGTGGAGATGGAGCAGCCCTGCCCTGGTTCTGGGGGCCCGAGAAGCCCTGGGGGCTTTAGTTCCACTACAGAGATTTTCCAGGGATGAAGGGGGGGTGGAGAGGTGGGGAGGGTGAGAGGGGGGAAGGGGGGAGGGGGGTAAGGTGGCGGGGTGGTGGAGGGGATAGGGTGGAGGGGATGGGGTGGAGGGGGGGATGGATGGGGTGGGGGGAGCGGGGGAGCGGAGGGCGTGGAGGGGAGGAGGCCCCAGCAGAGCAGGGGAGGTGGAGGAACTGGCTCCAAGTTCAAACTCCAGTCCACGCGCAGCCGGTGACCTTGGGGAGGGGTCAGCTTAGTCACCGCGGCACCTCGTGGAGCTGGGTGGGGCGCGCGCGGGTGGCTCGGGCCCAGCCCGGCCGGCTGGCCCGGGAGCCGCCGAGAGGGAGGCAAAGCTGGGGATCGGGAGGCCCGAGAGGCCGGGTCGGGAGCCCGCGGGTCCAGGAGAGGCCTGGGCACAGGGTGGACCCCGGACAGGCCGTGGGAAGCCGGGTCATCCGGCGGGGGAGGGCCGGGCGGCCGGGCGGGCGGGCGGGCGGGCGGGGCCTGGGCGGCCCTGGCGCTCCCCGGTCACAGCAGCCCGGACCGGCCGGACCCAGAACCAGGAAACCGGGCAGCCCGGGAGGACACCTGCCAGCCCCGGCCGGCCCCGGCCAGCCCCGGCCAGCCCGGGGGCCCCTCGGCCGGGGTCCTCCGCCCAGCGGGGTCCGACCTGCTGCGGGGAGACCCCCCCAAGCCCCGGGCTGCGAGGGGCCGGACGGGGAGGGTGGGTCACGGCGCCCAGACCCGACGGGCCTCGGCCACCGCCCGCCCCGTCCGCCGTCGTCCGGGGACACGAAGGCTCGAGCGGCAGACTCGAGGGGCGCACTCACCTGCTCCCGACGGCCCGCGGCCCGTCCGCCGGTGCCGGCCGTCTGTCCGTCTGTCCGTCCGCGCCCCGCGCGGCGCTCGGTTTCCGCGGGCAGGCGGGGCCTCGGCGGGGCCGGCGGCCGGAGCGGGGCGGGGCCGGGAGGAACCTGAGCGGCAGGTTACGGAGCCACGGGGCGCGGGAGGGCGAGACAGCGGGGCTGGCGCCTCCTGCCCAGCTCCGCCCCGCGAGGCCCGGGCCGCCCCCAGCTCCGCACCCCGGGGGCCCAGGGCGCGGCCCCAGCGCAGCAGGTGGTGCCCGGCGGGTCTTCCAGGGCGCCCCGCCCCTCCGGCCCCACCCCTGGGGAGCCAGAGCCCCGCCCCTCCGGCCCCACCCCTGGGGAGCCAGAGCCCCGCCCCTCCGGCCCCACCCCTGGGGAGCCAGAGCCCCGCCCCTCCGGCCCCACCCCTGGGGAGCCAGAGCCCCGCCCCTCCGGCCCCACCCCTGGGGAGCCAGAGCCCCGCCCCTCCGGCCCCACCCCTGGGGAGCCAGAGCCCCGCCCCTCCGGCCCCACCCCTGGGGAGCCAGAGCCCCGCCCCTCCGGCCCCACCCCTGGGGAGCCAGAGCCCCGCCCCTCCGGCCCCACCCCTGGGGAGCCAGGGCCCCGCCCCTCCGGCCCCACCCCTGGGGAGCCAGAGCCCCGCCCCTCCGGCCCCACCCCTGGGAGCCAGAGCCCCGCCCCTCCGGCCCCACCCCTGGGAGCCAGAGCCCCGCCCCTGCCAGCCCCACCCCTGGGGAGCCAGAGCCCCGCCCCTCCGGCCCCACCCCTGGGGAGCCAGAGCCCCGCCCCTCCGGCCCCACCCCTGGGGAGCCAGAGCCCCGCCCCTCCGGCCCCACCCCTGGGAGCCAGAGCCCCGCCCCTGCCAGCCCCACCCCTGGGGAGCCAGAGCCCTGCCCCTCCGGCCCCACCCCTGGGGAGCCAGAGCCCCGCCCCTCCGGCCCCACCCCTGGGGAGCCAGAGCCCCGCCCCTCCGGCCCCACCCCTGGGAGCCAGAGCCCCGCCCCTGCCAGCCCCACCCCGGGGGAGCCAGAGCCCCGCCCCTGCCGGGCCCCACCCCTGGGGAGCCAGAGCCCCGCCCCTCCGGCCCCACCCCTGGGGAGCCAGAGCCCCGCCCCTGCCGGGCCCCCTCCCTGTGGCCCAGGGGCAGAGCATCTTATCTTCCACGCATTAAGTGGGCTTCTCTGTAGGGGCCATAGAGGATCCCCGGAGACAACATCACCAAGCTGATCAGGTAAGGTGCCTCCTCCTCCTCCTCCTCCCAGACCAAGAGTGCCCAGGCCGCCGGCCGCTCTGCACCTGGGCCGCCCCACGGGGCTGTCTGGAGAGGACCATGCATCCCTGGGCACCCTGCCCACCCAGGCTGCCAACAGCCACTCATGGAGCACTGAGCACACACAGACCAGGCCACAGGCTGGCCTAGGGGAGGAAGGGACAGGGGCACAGCCAGGAACCCAGGGCCCCGGCGGTGTCTGGGGCGGGGGACAGCGGGAATGGGTGCTGCCGGGAGGGCAGTGGCGGGCGGCAGGGCCCCGGCGCCCTCCGTGGGAAAGCGGGTGCACCGTCCTCTGGCCTGCACTGGGATGCAGGCTCAGCATCTGCCTGAGCCCAAGGCAGGCCTGGTTTCCTGGTTCACAGCCTTTTGCAGCTGATCTCACAGAACCTGCTGGGCACTGCCCCCTGTGTGACCTGGCCAAGCCCGCCAGGTAGAGGCCAGGCACTCAGCTGTGAACAGGGAGGGGCAGGGGCACACCTGTGCCTTCCCTCTGCTGGGCAGAATGCGGGAGCTGTGCAACACAGCCAACTCCGAGGAGGGTCTCCTGGGTCCGACCCGAGCGACACACGCCTGCCTTGGGCCATCTGGAGCCACGCGTCCCAAGGAACCGTGTCCACTTGCCTTTGTGTCCACTTTGCCTCAGGGTGCTGAGGGGAGGGTTTAAAGCCCAGATTAACTATGAAGGTGATGGGCTCCTTGGTCAACAGAGGCCCTGGCCTGGATTGCAGGACAGGCTGGTGACAGCAGAAGTACCCAGGCTACAAAATGCTAGGGAGGGAAACAGCCCCAGGTGGTCTGGGGCACCGCCCCTTCCCACACCCACCTGTGGAGCTCTGCTCAGCACTGGGAGTGGGAGGGTAGATCTCCAGGTCACTGTCTCCATGGCCTCTGAGGGCTGCAGGTCAGATACACTGGCTGAGGAGCCATGGGTGAGGAATGTGTCCACAGCACCCCTGGCCCCAGCAGCCTTGCCTCCTGCAGAGTGCTGGGCAGCCGGCCGGAGGGTGAAGGTGGGTTCCAGGACGGGGTCATGAAGGTGGAGAGGAAGGTGGACTCTTCGGTGTCAAGGCCCGTGGAAGGTCATGGCAGAGCACTTACGTAGCAAGTACAAAGCCCAGTTCAAACCCCAGCACTGCGGAGGTGGGGAGGGGAGAGGATGAACCACATATAAAACATTTATATGGTATAAAAACCTTTATTTACACCAAGATATTTGAACACATTATTCCAAACAGACACAACAGAAGTGAAGGAATAATAAATATAATAACGTATGTTTAGAGCCTGATCCCAGTGGCTCCAGACTGGATTCAAAGCCAGCCCAGGCAGGGAAAGGTAAACACTCCTATTTACATTTAACCTCTAAAAGGCCAGAATTGGAGCTGTGGCTCAAGTGGTACAACACCACCCTTGAGTGAAAAAGCTAAGGGGCAGGGTTCAGGCCGAGTTCAAGTACACACACACACACACACACACACACACACACACACTGCTTAGCAGGCATGAGGTTCACACCTGAATCCCAGCTACTTGGGAGGCAGGAGGATTGAGTTTGAGGCCAGCTTGGGCAAAGTTACTGAAATCCTAATGCAAAATAAAAACAAAGCAGGTCAGGGGTGCCACTTAAGCAGTAAGAGCTAAACAGCCAGAGGAGATGCACTTGCAGGAGCCAGAGGGGGGCCAGGCCTGGGGCGGGGCCTGGAAGCAGAGCACCAAGGGCTCTCAGAACACGAACTGGGGCCGGTGCGGAAACCTGCGATGCCAAGAACTTCTGTGTGAGGAAAACACAAGTGGGGGATGGGCAGCAGGCATCCCGGGTGGGCTGGCTGAGGGTGGGGCTGTTTCTCTGTGGTGACAGGGTGGAGCTGCTGGCAGGCCACTCTGTAAAGGCCTGCCTCCCGCTGGGCCCCGCTGCTGAGGCCAGGCCTCCAGCCAGGGGACCTTCCTGGGCAGACCTGAGGCTACCCTTCCCCCTTCCCCCCACAGTCACCATTCTCAACACTTTCATGTCTCAACAGTTTGTTTTGCCCTGGACTCACAATGCTTACCCCACCTAAGATTTGTAGGCCACCCCAAACCATCTACAAAGCCAGGTGTGGAGGTCTGGCTCATGTGGTAGAGCACCACACCCTGAGTCCAAGGCCTCAATTCTGGCATGAAAAAAAAAAAATCAAAACCCAAACCAAACCGTCTAGATCAAGTGGGTCGGACGCTGTGCACCCGGGAGCCGCGGAGGGGGCTGAGCTGGCTCATCTACCTGATGAAGGCAGCCGTGGTCACCACCTGCAGGGCGGCCTCCAGGCCTTGCAGGGCCAGGAGAGCAGTGCTCAGAACTGAGTCCACCCACAGCACCAGGGTCTGCCAGAGCATGAAGTGGACCGAGAGGACGCTGCCTCCCACTGTGAGGGCCAGGCTGGTGGCCAGCAGCACCTCAGCCTGCATCAGGTTGCCCTTGGTGCCTGGAGAGCAGAGCAAAGAGGAGAGTGAGGTGTGGGCTTTGGGGCGTCCCAGCCTGGGCCTCAGGACCAGCTGTGAGCTGATGAGGCCCCGGAAGGCTGCCTACCACAGCCATGCCACGGCTGAGGCCCGGTCTCTGAAAGTCTGGTTTCTCTAAAAGGATGGGCATCTGCTACCTTTTCCTAACTCCAAGTTGGATCAAAGGGATTTTGTTTAAGCCCTCCAAAAATATTTTCCTCTGGGCTAAGGCAGTCTGGGTTCTGGAAACTTTCACGAATACTTACAAAAACAAAACTGCCTGTTTTACAACCAGATCAGTCATAGAACATGCTGGCTTGAGGTTGCCACCAGCTGACCCTGTTGCCTGGGGTGTGCTGAGGGCCTGCCGTGCCTCAGTTCACCCTGCAGCCTTCTGGGGGCGGGTCTTCCGCACTGCTCCCCTGCTGGCTAGGCCCAAGGTCTGCAGCCCTTATACCCTCCTGGCAGCACCATCTTGTGGGCAAACCACGAAAACTACTCCACCCAGGCAGCAGACACTGGAAGCCCAGCCTGGTCTAGGATTCACTCTGGCCACTCTTGGAGTTCCAGGTCTGACAGCACGAGACGCATAGAGGCCACTTCTCTGTGTGCCTCCATTTCCTCTCCATACACACGGTGGTGGAAGAAGAGCCTGGCAATGGTGCTGTGCTGCAGGAATTCCTGGTGTCAGGGCTATTCATGGTATGATTTTTTTTGGGGGGGGGTGGGTCGTGGGGCTTGAACTCTGGGCCTGGGCACGTCCCTCAGCTCTTCAGCTCAAGGCAAGTGCTCTACCACTTGAGCCACAGCGCCACTTCGTTTTTCTTGTGGTTTATTGGAGAAAAGAGTCTCACAGTCAGCAGGGCACCAGTGGCTCACGCCTGTAATCCTAGCTACTCAGGATGCTGAGATCTGAGGACTGTGGTTCAAAGCCAGCCCAGGCAGGAAAGTCTATGAAACTCTTATCTCCAATAAACTACTAGAAAACTGGAAGTGGTGCTGTAGCTCCAGTGGTACAGCGCTCACCTTGAGCTGAAGAGCTGAGGGACAGCGCCCAGGCCCAGAATTCAAGCCCTACAATGGACAAAAAAAAAAAAAAGTCTCACAGCCTTTCCTGCTTGGCCTGGCTTTGAACTGTGATTCTCAGATCTCAGCCTCCTGAGTAGCTAGGATGACAGGCGTGAGCTGCCAGCGCCCATCCATAAGGTCTGATCTTATCTGAAAGAGACATGCCAATGACCAGGAGCGCAGTAGGGCCACAGCCCAGGCTGCAGGCCATCTTGGCAGTCAGCTCTGGGAAGGGGATTCCCACATTTTCCCTCTGTACGTGAGCCAAGTATGAGGACATACCCTCAGATGAACTGTGTGGCGAAAGAAAAGGGAGTTGGCTTGTAATGGTCACTAGAGGCGGTGGCAGGCGTGACCTGCGGGGACAGGAGAGGCTCACAGAATGCTCCACACCTTCTCCTCCCCTAGGCCGAGGCCGTGGGAAGTAGGTGCAGGGCAGTGTGCTGGGGTCCAGCTTTGACCTCCTGAGCTTCTGATCGCTGCACTGTTGTGGAGTATGCTTCCAGATGTGAAGAGGCCACTAGTGTCACTTTGTCTCTGGGACAAAGCCTCTGAACAAGCATGTAATACTTAACGACACAGTAAGGCAAGGCTGCAATGTGCTCGGTGAACCAGTTTGGATGAAAATGTCTCCAGGAGCCGGGCGGCGGCGGCCACGCCTATCATCCCAGCTACTCAGGAGGCTGAGAGCTGAGGATCGAGGTTCAAAGCCAGCCCGGGCAGGAAAAGTCTGTGAGACTCTGATCTCCAATAAACCACTAGAAAACCGGAAGTGGCGCTGTGGCTCAAGTGGTAGAGCGCTAGCCTTGAGCTGAAGAGCGCAGAGGCAGTCCCAAGCCCACGAAAAAAAAAAAAAAGGCTCCAAGATCCACGCCACAAAGAGCTCAAGATAGAAAGGTTTAGCACATTCAAGATGGCACCTTTGTGACCACAAACCCTGTACGGTTTCACAGCCAACTCACCCAGGTACAGATGGGCTCCCTCCAGAACCCCCATCAGAAGTAACAGTGTCAGATCAAGGGCCAGGCAGCTCCAGGGATAGCTGAAAACCTGGCCTGGGAAGAGTCAGAGTCAGGTCAGAGTGTGTGTGTGAGTGTGGGACCCCGCGGCTGCCACACGCTCATTACTTACTCTTATACACGATCAGCAGAAGCGTGGCTAGGAAGTACAGGGCGTAGTACAGGGCACTGAGATGGAACAGCATTTGAAGAGGGACTGATGGGAGCTGGTACGTGGTCAAGGACCTTCAGGCTCAGCAGAATGGGGTGGCGCACCTGCCTGGGCAGCCATGTCTGAGGGGCTGTGATGATCCTACATGGCCGGTAGCCACAAGCTTAGGCCCGGCCTGTGGCTCAGGCTCCAGCAGGTGAACACCCGCGGCTCCTCACTCGGAGCTTCTATTGCTACATCTGGTGTGGTCACCCGAGGGGTCCTAGTGGCTACTGGGCAGTGCTGGACCCGTCCCCTCCCGGTGGACCGAGGTCTAAGCGCCACACCCCAGCTACCATGGGAACTTCCTAGGGGCTGCCACTCCCCCACAGGTTGGTAAGAGAAGACCATTTTCATATTCTTAAGATAAAACACACACATGCTCCCCTGACTCAGGGGAGAATATTTAAATCTCCAGTAGTAATTTCCCGAGCTCCGCCCACATCATACATGTTTCTGTAAAAGTGAAGCTCAGGCGCGTCATCTTCCTGCCACCTGGCCAGGCTGTGAAGATGAGGCCATCTCATGACCCCCACAGGACCTTGGCCTGTGGGTGGCGGCGCCGGCACGCCAGGGAACTCTACTACCCCCTGAAAGGCCCCCGTCTGGATTAAGGAGAAAGTGAGGCAGGGTGAAAGGCACCAACCCAGCCTGGGGGAGGGGTTCAGGAGGCAGGATACGTCAGCTGCGGGGCGCCACGTCCAGGGGGCTTCTCCCTGGAAAAGACAGTGCCATCAACTCTCTGAAACCGTCCTGTTCAGTTCTTCGCTGGCCTCACGTTTATCTTTTTTTTTTGGGGGGGGGGGCCTGGTCGTGGGGCTTGAACTCTGGGCTGGGCGCTGTCCCTCAGCTCTTCAGTTCAAGGTGAGCGCTCTACCACTTGAGCCACAGCGCCACTTCCGGCTTTTTCCTTATGTGGTGCTGAGGAATCGAACCCAGGGCCTCAGGCATGCAAGGCAAGCGCTCTACCACTGAGCCACCTTCCCAGCCCTGGCCTCACTTTTATAGGCGAGTGCTCGGCGGGCCCCCAGCTTGCCCTCTCTCATCTCTCCATCCGTTCCTTTGAGGAAGATGTGACAACTTCCGACTTCACATACCCACAACTGGGAACAGACTGTACCCAGAGCGGGGCCGGGCAAAAGTGTAGCCTGGGTGCATGCCGGGGGCCAGGCTCAACAAGATGGGTGTGATCTGTGCCTTGGGAAAGAAGCTCCCGGAACAAATCCCAAGGCAACTTTCTCACCGTCTGTGCTTTCTGCACATATATCACAATTAGGTAATTACACGGAGATCTTTTTCTGTTATTAAAAAACCCTTTTTCATCATTGATTAGATATTTTGCTTTCTGCTCAAATTTTATTCACTTCTCCACAATAACCCTCTGGAATTTTTTTTCTCCCAAATTATCCATCCTTCTCCCACCCTGACACAGGTGTGGATTTCCCCTCATATTTGGTTCTTGGGGTAGGGTCCATTTCTAGAAGCACTGTTTCTGCCTGTAAAGAACTCCTTGATGAAACGTGACTGGGCCAGATCACTTGTCAGAAGCTCGCAACGCATTTGTAACACACTTGTAACACATGCATGTCTCTACGTGTGCATTCCACCCGGAAGAATTAAAAGTTTGCCAAAACCTCCTATTAAAAAAAAAAAGAAGCCGGGCACTGGTGGCTCACGCCTGTAATCCTAGCTACTCAGGAGGCTGAGATCTGAGGATCGTGGTTCAAAGCCAGCCCTGGCAGGAGAGACCGTGAGACTCCTATCTCCAATAAACCACCAGAAAACCGGAAGTGGCGCTGTAGCTCAAGTGGTAGAGCGCTCGCCTTGAGCTGAAGAGCTGAGGGACAGCACCCAGGCCCAGAGTTCAAGCCCCACGACCGACAAAAAATAAAATAAAATTAAATTAAAAAAAAAAAAAAAAAAAAGAAGCTCAGAAGTCGCACTGTGGCTCAAGTGGTAGAGCGCCCGCCTTTAGCTGAAGAGCTGAGGGACAGCCCCCCGGCCCAGAGTTCAAGCCCCACGACCAACCAAAAAGAAAAAGAAAAAAATGAAATAAAAAAGCTCTGGGGTGGGAAGGTGGCTCAGTGGTAAGCGCTTGCCTTGCATGCCTGAGGCCCTGGGTTCGATTCCTCAGCAGTCCATACGCAGAAAAAGCCGGAAGTGGCTGTGGCTAGATCGCTAGCCTTGAGCTGAAGAGCTGAGGGGCAGCGCCAGGCCCAGAGCTCAGCCTGCTTCTGTGTATCGGGCAGGGCAGTTATCTGAACCCAGTCTGCAACTGTCTGCCGTTTCCTTTTCTCTTTCTAGGGAAGGTAAGGAGAACACGAGGCTTGGTAGGCTTCTGTAGGACATCTGACTTCGTGGGCAAAGTTGGACCATCTGTTCCAGAGGTGTGAACTCGAGTGGCATGAGTCTTAAAGTGTTAAACACAGGACTTCAGCAAGGGGCTCTGGACGGGGCCCCTCTGGAGGTGCCTGTGGGAATAGTAACCAAGGGAGCCACCGCTTGCGCTGTGTCCCATTTCAGCATTCTGAACCTGATCCGTTCTTTTCCAGGCCCCAGATGAACTAGGCCACCGAGGTACATGACTGCAGATTAATTGGGGATTTCCTCTCTGCAGATACTTGGGTCTGAACTCAGGGCCTGGCACTGTCCCTGAGCTTCTGCTCAAAGCTAGCACTCTACCACTAGAGCCACACCACTTCCTGCTTCTTCTGTGTATGTGGTATGTGCTAGGTAAGCACTCTACCACTAAGCTGCCTTCCCAGCGCCCAGGATCTTTTTCTTAAGGGTCAACCAACATTAGGGTGGGTGCTAGTGCATCATAAAACTATAATCCTAGCTACTCAGGAGGTTGAGATCTGGGGCTCTTGGTTCAAAGCCAGTCAGGGCTAGGAAGTGTATGAGACTTCAAATAACTAACATAAAGCTGGAAGTTGAGCTGTGGAGCAGCTAGTCTTGAGCATAAAAAGGTCAAGGACAGAGTCCAGAGGTCAAGCCCTAGAACCAGCACACATATAATAAAAGGCTAACACTAGGGACGTAGCAGTGGAAGAATGCTCGCCTTGCATGTGCGAGGTCCTGGGTTCCATCCCTAGTACCTCAGATAAATAAACAGATCAGAAAAATTTCACTTTTAGCTGTTAGTTGTTCATTGCTACAGACCGAAACTGTGGGACTTAGATAAAAACACTCCAAAACCTCGAATGACATTTAAATGACATTCTCACTTTCAGGCCCACAGGGGCTCATTTGGACTGAACTCAGTCTTGCTTTTTTTCAGGGATTTGCTGCAATTCCAATTTGACTACCGACAGATGGGAGGTGGAAGTTCAACATGGAAGGGAACAGCTATTTTCCTGATGTGAGCCAGTGAGTGCAGAGATCCTGTTCTGTACAAACTTAGCTCTTTTTTTCCTGGATAGTGCTAGGAACGGCCAGGGCCTTGTCATCAGAGCAAGTGCTCTACCACTGAGCCACACTGCTAGCTCTTTTTTTAAGCAAATGAAAATAATCCAATCAACCTAACTAGCAGAGGATGGCTTGGAGCCCGACACACCAGAAAGGCGGGTCTTTGTAGGGTTACCTATGGTGTCCCTGCCAATCACGGGGCGAGGAATTTGGAAACTGTTTTTTGTTTTTTAACTTAACCAAATGAATACTCCATAGTAACTCCAAGCCCCCTTCCCATCAGGGCAACACAGGTAAACAGAAGCTGGTTCTGGTCCTCTGGGGGGCACTACCCACTGTGTGGAGCCACACCTGGTGACCTCCAAAAATGTATTTCATGAGGGAACATTTGGAAGAGCTGCGGGATGGAGTGCACGTTGTTGTTGTTGGATGGATTCGAGAATGGGTGGATGATGGATAGATGGATGGGTGGGTGGAGGGTGAGGGGTGTTGGGTGAGGGGTGGAGGGTGAGGGGTGTTGGGTGAGGGGTGGAGGGTGAGGGGTGGTGGGTGAGGGGTGGAGGGTGAGGGGTGGAGGGTGAGGGGTGTTGGGTGAGGGGTGTTGGGTGAGGGGTGGAGGGTGAGGGGTGGAGGGTGAGGGGTGTTGGGTGAGGGGTGGAGGGTGAGGGGTGGAGGGTGAGGGGTGTTGGGTGAGGGGTGGAGGGTGAGGGGTGGTGGGTGAGGGGTGGAGGGTGAGGGGTGTTGGGTGAGGGGTGGAGGGTGAGGGGTGGAGGGTGAGGGGTGTTGGGTGAGGGGTGGAGGGTGAGGGGTGGAGGGTGAGGGGTGTTGGGTGAGGGGTGGAGGGTGAGGGGTGTTGGGTGAGGGGTGGAGGGTGAGGGGTGGAGGGTGAGGGGTGTTGGGTGAGGGGTGGAGGGTGAGGGGTGGAGGGTGAGGGGTGGAGGGTGAGGGGTGTTGGGTGAGGGGTGGAGGGTGAGGGGTGGAGGGTGAGGGGTGGAGGGTGAGGGGTGGTGGGTGAGGGGTGGAGGGTGAGGGGTGGAGGGTGAGGGGTGGTGGGTGAGGGGTGGAGGGTGAGGGGTGGTGGGTGAGGGGTGGAGGGTGAGGGGTGTTGGGTGAGGGGTGGAGGGTGAGGGGTGTTGGGTGAGGGATGGGGAGCAGGTGAGGGGTGGCGGGTGGGACGGGGTCAGGACCGGCTGTGAGCAGCTTCCGGACTCAGGCCTTAGTGGTTTGCTAATCTGCCCTCGGGGCCGGTCCGGGACCGGTTTAGGGAACGGATTGGGGATGGCAGGGAGCTGCCGCGGTCCGCGCGCCCCGGCTCCCGGTGTGCCCGCCAAAGGTGTGTGCCCGGAAGCCCCCGGGGAGCGCGGGCGTCCCGTCCCGTCCCGGGGAGCGCGGGGGTCCCGTCCCGTCGCGGGGAGCGCGGGGGTCCCGTCCCGTCGCGGGGAGCGCGGGGGTCCCGTCCCGTCCCGGGGAGCGCGAGGGTCCCGTCCCGTCCCGGGCAGCCCGAGGGTCCCGTCCCGTCGCGGGGAGCGCGGGGGTCCCGTCCCGTCCCGGGGAGCGCGGGGACCCGGGGGCCACGACCACGGGAAGGCGCCCGCGCCCCTCCCCGCCGCGGCGGGACTCTGCTCCGCCGTCCGCACCGCAGGGCCGGGGCCCGCACACGACGTCAGGCGGCGCCGGCGCGGCCGCCCGCCTCACCTGCGCCCGCGGCCGCCACCATGCCGCCGCGCCTCCCGCGCTCCCGGCGGCCCCTCCGCGCCCTCCCGCCATCTTCGCTCCGCCCTCGGGCCTCGACTCGGCCTCCCGGCGGCACTCGGGCGCTTCCGGACTGGCGCGGCGGGAGGAGCGAGGCCGAGGACTCGGGGGACGCGGTTCGGAGGCGCTCGGCCCCGCTCGGCTCGGCCCCGCTCGGCTCGGCCCCGCTCGGCTCGGCCCCGCTCGGCTCGGCCCCGCTCGGCTCGGCTCGGCTCGGCCCCGCTCGGCTCGGCTCGGCCCCGCTCGGCTCGGCTCGGCCCCGCTCGGCTCGGCCCCGCTCGGCTCGGCTCGGCTCGGCTCGGCTCGGCCCCGCTCGGCTCGGCTCGGCCCCGCTCGGCTCGGCCCCGCTCGGCTCGGCTCGGCTCGGCTCGGCCCCGCTCGGCTCGGCTCGGCTCGGCCCCGCTCGGCTCGGCTCGGCCCCGCTCGGCTCGGCTCGGCTCGGCTCGGCCCCGCTCGGCTCGGCTCGGCTCGGCTCGGCCCCGCTCGGCTCGGCCCGGCCCCGCTCGGCTCGGCCCCGCTCGGCTTGGCTCGGCTCTGCTCGGCCCCGCTCGGCTCGGCTCGGCTCGGCCCCGCTCGGCTCGGCTCGGCCCCGCTCGGCTCGGCTCGGCTCGGCTCGGCCCCGCTCGGCTCGGCCCCGCTCGGCTCGGCTCGGCTCGGCTCGGCCCCGCTCGGCTCGGCCCCGCTCGGCTCGGCCCCGCTCGGCTCGGCCCCGCTCGGCTCGGCCCCGCTCGGCTCGGCTCGGCTCGGCCCCGCTCGGCTCGGCTCGGCCCGGTTCGGCTCGGCTCGGCCCCGCTCGGCTCGGCTCGGCTCGGCTCGCGTCGGTCCCGCTCGGCTCTTCTCGGCTTCTTCCGGCTCCTCTCGTCCCCGCTCGGCTCGGCTCCTCTCGGCTCTCCTCGGCTTCTTCCGGCTCCTCTCGTCTCCGCTCGGCTCGGCTCGGCTCCTCTCGGCTCCTCTCGGCCCCGCTCGGCGAGGCTCCTCCCGACTCCTCCCGGCCCGGCCCCGCTCGGCTCGGCCCGGCCCGGTTCGGCTCCTCCCGGCCCCGCTCGGGCCCGCTCGGCTCCTCCCGGCCCCGGACCGACGTCGGCTGGGCTCGGCCCGGCCCGGCGGGCGTCTGGCCGCCCCTTCCGCGTCGGCTCGCGCGGAGGCTTCGGAAGGCCTCGGCCCGGCTCGGGAGGCCTCTTCGGGCCCCGCTTCGGGCGGCCCCGGCCGGCGCCTTCGGGCGGGCTCGGCGGAGTCCGGATGGAGGACTCGGACTCGGCCGCCAAGCAGCTGGGCCTGGCCGAGGCGGCGGCGGTGGCGGCCGCGGCCGCTGTGGCGGCGGCGGCCGCGGCCGCGGCGGGCGGCGAGGCGGAGGAGCCGGTGCTGAGCCGGGCCTCGGACTCGGAGGAGGACGCGGACTCGGAGGCGGAGCGCGAGACGCGGCGGGTCACGGCCGTGGCGGTGATGGCGGCCGATCCCGGGCACATGGACATGAGCGCCGAGGCCCTGCCCGGCCCCGACGAGGCCGCCGCCGCCGCCGCCTTCGCAGGCAAGTGCGCCGAGCCGCCGGCCTCGCGTTGCCCCGCGCCCGCGCCCCGGCCCCGCGCGCGCCCCGCGCCCCGCGCGCGCCCCCGCCCCCTCGGCCAGGAGCGCCGTGCGCGTCGTGACTTCCGCGGGAGGCTGCGGAGCCCGCGGCCCCGGAGGGCGGCGTGCGCGGGGGACGGGGACGCCCCGGGCCCCGGGAGCAGCCCGGCCGGCCCGGCGAGCCCGCGCCCCCCGCGCGGCCTCCGGCCTCCGCTTCCCCGAGGTCGCCGCTGTTGTGACACAGCCCCTATTCCGCGCGCCCTTGGACAGGTGAAGTCAGGCCGGGCGCGCCGCGCCTCCTCCCCGCCCCGAGGGTCCCCGGGCTCGCAGTCGGGCTCGTGCTGCCATCCCTCACGGAGCTCCGCGCGTTCGGGGCCCCGTCCTGCTGCGGGGTGTGGGTACCTCGAAACTGCCTCTCAGGGGCTGCGGTGGAGGGCCAGGATCACAGCCGGCCTGCGCCCCAAGCGGCCTGCGCCCCGGGCGGCCTGACAGTCCCCGACGGCCTGCGCCATGGCCTGCGCCCCGGGCGGCCTGACAGTCCCCGACGGCCTGACAGTCCCGGGCGGCCTGCGCCCCAAGCGGCCTGCGCCATGGCCTGCGCCCCGGACGGCCTGACAGTCCCTGACGGCCTGCGCCCCAAGCGGCCTGCGCCATGGCCTGCGCCCCGGACGGCCTGACAGTCCCTGACGGCCTGCGCCCCAAGCGGCCTGCGCCATGGCCTGCGCCCCGGACGGCCTGACAGTCCCTGACGGCCTGCGCCCCAAGCGGCCTGCGCCATGGCCTGCGCCATGGCCTGCGCCCCGGGTGGCCTGACAGTCCCCGACGGCCTGCGCCCCAAGTGGCCTGCGCCATGGCCTGCGCCCCGGGTGGCCTGACAGTCCCCGACGGCCTGCGCCCCAAGTGGCCTGCGCCATGGCCTACGCCTCGGGCGGCCTGATAGTCCCCGACGGCCTGCACCCCAAGCGGCCTGTGCCCCGGGCAGCCTGATAGTCCTCGACGGCCTGCGCCATGGCCTGCGCCCCGGGTGGCCTGACAGTCCCGGGCGGCCTGACAGTCCCGGGCGGTCTGTGCCATGGCCTGCGCCCCCGACGGCCCGCTGGAGACATGGCCGCAGGCAAACATGTGGGAGCGCTTAGATCGTAGCACTCTTCTTATAAAGTCCAGGGTTTGGAACCTCGACATTTTGTCCTTTTAGCACATTCCTCTTTGAGTGCAGAGAAGATGAGGCCATCCTGTCCGTGCTGCTTGTTTTTTTTTCTCTGCAGAATATGTTTTTAAATTTTAATTTGTGTACACACGCGTGTTAGAGCGAGCAAGCACGTTGCACATGTTTTGTTGAGTTACTGAAGTCAGGTAGTTCCAGGTTTAAGCGACACAGCAGGACAGACTGTCCATCTTTGGCCATAGCAGCTGGAGCTGTCTTTAGACCTATGTTCAGACAGGCCCTGGGTTGTAGCCTGTGCTGAGTGCTGAGAGGAGAGGAGTTAGCTGCAGTCGTGGTCTGCCTGGCAGTGGAGGGAGGAGACTGGAAGGTACCTTGGGACTGTTTGTCGGGAGTTTGGTCAGTGGGAGGGGCAGGACTCCGAGCACAGGCCTCTGCCAGAGACTGTCCTGGGATTCTGAGCAACAGCAGGCACCTGGAGGGAAGGATGCAAAGACAGGAGTGTGTGGCCTCACAGCATATTGCAGCAGAGCCCCTGGATGCGTTGTGAGGATGGGTGTGGTAGGTCAGCCTGCTTCTCAGGATCGTTGCTGGGGACCAGAGCCAGGTATGGGCACAAGGCTGTGGTACATATTTGTGATGAATATTTTCACTGTAAAGGAATTCACTGGGGAAGAGTGGTGTTCCCCTCTTCTGAGACAACCAGATGACTAAGACTAGAATAAAAACGTTGACAGCATTTTTACAAAAGCGTGGAAGTGGAGCTATAGAGCGCTAGCCTTGAGCTGAACTCAGGGACAGCACCCACCCGCTGAGCTCAAGCCCCCTGACCGAGAAAAAAGTACAAAGGGGCAAAGATGTCACAGTGGAGTATAAACAGCCATGTGGAATGCTTTGTCTGTATCTCCTGTGTGAGACCCTGTCTTTTGTGTTTTGTTTTTTTTCTTTTCTTTTCCATCATGGGGCCTGAATTCTGGGCCTGGGTGCTGTCCCTCAGTTCTTCAGCTCAAGGCTAGTGCTTGCCACTTGACCCATAGCACCACTTCTAGCTTTTTCTGCTTATGTGGTGCTGAGGAATCAAACCCAGGGCCTCATGCGTGCAGGGCAAGCACTCTACCACTGAGGCACCTTCCCAGCCCTTCTGTTTTTTCTTTACCCTATGTAAAGTCTGGTTCCTTCTGTTGCAGAAGTGACCACAGTGACAGTGGCCAACGTTGGGTCCTCTGCAGACAATGTCTTCACAACGTCAGTGGCAAACGCAGCGTCCATCTCAGGACATGTCCTGGTAAGAAGTTGTCAGGGTCCTGCCCTTGCCACTGTGGGCTGCTTCATACAGCTCCAGGAAGCATTTCTAGTCCTTAAAGACCATTTCAGGGTCTAGTGTGCACGAGTATCTGCACTGTTGAGGTGGGTGGAGGGTGTGTGGGCCTTCCTCGCTCTCAGGAGCCTTGGGACTGTGCCATACAGGAAAGATCAGAGCAGAGATGAGTTTCCTGTGGCATGCCAGACAGGGGTTCTAAACAAGGGCTTACGCTTTTGTCCTCACTGTGCTTCACCGTTTGAGGACGATGCAGCGTCAACCTGGCTTCTGGAAGGTTATAGGGAGCCAGGGGAGCTGTTGGGGCTGACAGGTTGGGATCATCCTCAACAAATGGCCTTCCAGTCTCCGTGTAGCTCAGGTTGCTCTCTACCCAAGGTTGATCTGCCAGTGGCTGGCACTGCCTGACGTGTTCCTAACACTCCATAGACTCACAGACAGACCCGAGTCTTGCTTCCCTTGGTTCTCCTGGGCTTACAGCTCATACCCACAATGCACTATGGCAGGCCTTGCTGCCCATCACTGTTCATATGGCTTCTGTGCCCCAATGCAGAAGTCATTTACAGCCCCACCATGTTAGCCTGCTTCCTGTGGGTGCTTGGGATCAGTAGACAGGCTTTCCTTCCTGGCGCAGGTGCTAGTGGGCACATTCCCCAGAAAGTTGCTGTGTTTGTGGAGCATGGGGATGTTTTTACTTTGACAGATCAGCAACCAATTTGGCATGGGTCTTTCTTGTTCTTGGTTCTGTCTGTAAGTCTCTTGGGAACATATCTGGAGAGGATGTGGGAGGCCTGGCCTGGATTGTCTGGTTATGAGCGGCAAGAGCCTTGCTATAGGGCCACATCCCACTGGGCTGAGTGACATGCCCGATATCTAGGAGCTGACCAACAGAGATGTTCTTCTTTCTAGTCTGGTAGGACAGCTCTTCAGATTGGGGACAGCCTTAACACAGAGAAGGCCACGCTGATCGTAGTCCACACAGATGGGAGCATCGTGGAGACAACTGGGCTGAAGGGTCCCGCAGCCCCGCTCACCCCAGGTACCGAGCCCTCCGCAGCTTATTTGAGTTTTTCTTTTGTTTTTTGTTTTTGTCAGCTGTGGGGCTTAAACTGAGGGCCTGGGCACTGTCCCTGCGCTCTTTTGCTCAAGCCTAGCACTGCCACTTTGAGCCACATCTCCACTTTTAGTTTTCTAAAGGTGGTTAATTGGGGATAAGAGTCTCATGGAGGGGCTGGGAAGGTGGCTCAGAGTAGAGTAGAGTGCTTGCTTTGCATGCATGAGACCCTGGGCTCAATTCCTCAGCACCACATAAACAGAAAAAGCTGGAAGTGGCGCTGAAGAGCTGAGGGACAGCGCCCAGGCCCTGAGTTCAGGCCCCATGACTGACCAAAAAATAAAAAAAGTCTCATGGACTTTCTTGCCTGGGCTGGCTTTGAATGTGATCGTCAGATGTCAGCCTCCTGAGTAGCTAGGATGACAGGTGTGTGCCACCAGCACCTGGCTGCTTATTTGTTTTTGTAGTAAGTTTGGAAACCAAATATTGACTTAGGGAGCCCGGCAGGAGTTCTCTGGGCAGAGAGAGCATTGCCCACAGGGAAGGGGTGGTGCTGTTGTACTAAACCGTCTGTGTTCCCGCAGGAAAGGAGGGCAGATGTGAGCTGGCATCCTGTCTGCCCTGGTTACAGGGGCTCACAGCCTCTCTTTGTGCAGGTCCTCAGTCTCCTCCGACTCCGTTGGCACCAGGCCAGGAGAAGGGTGGCACCAAGTACAACTGGGACCCCTCGGTGTATGGCAGTGAGCTGCCTGTGCGCTGCCGGAACATCAGCGGCACGCTCTACAAGAGCAGGCTCGGCTCAGGTGAGGCCGCCGCCCATGTCCACTGGAGGCCTGTAAACCGGGGCCCAGGAACTCTAAATGCACTGAGGAGGGGAGGGAACTGTGCGAGACCTCCAGCCTCCGTGGTTGAAACCCAGCCCATCGAAGGCCTTGGCCGCGGCGGGGGGCCTGGGGGTGAATTCTGGGTCATGGTGGCTCTGGGAGAGAGAGAAAGTAGGAGAAAGGTAGCGTGGGGCATGTTTCCCACGAGACTCACACAGGCAGGGGTTGCGGGGAGCGGATAGCCGCGGGCTGTGACAAGCTGGTGCTGACTGTGGACGTGGCTGGGAGACCACCACAGGTGCTGCTGGGGTGACTTTGGTGTCAGTGAGATTAGCGATCAGGTAGGACGGGGGGCAGCCAGGAGGGCAGTGGGGAGGGAGACACGGTGGAGGAAGGGCTGGTGGCGCCAGCTCTCAGCTGTGAGGAGTCGTAATGGCAGGTTCACTTGCGTTTCAGGCGGCCGCGGCCGGTGCATCAAGCAGGGGGAGAACTGGTACAGCCCCACGGAGTTCGAGGCCATGGCAGGAAGAGCCAGCAGCAAAGACTGGAAGAGGAGTATCCGCTACGCGGGCAGACCTCTCCAGTGCCTCATCCAGGTACGGGCAGGTGCGGCCCAGCAGCCGCATGCAGGGGGAGGTGCGCTGGCTCAGGCAAGGTCCATGTGGCCATGGGTGCATTACTGGCCTTCCAGGAGATGTGGTGCGGGTAACCCCAGAGGGTCGCTGAGGGGGTACATCATGAGGCCCAGGAAAAGGAAATGCTGGACACAGAAGAGAGGCAGCAAAGCCAGGGTGTCTGTCTGTGACTGTGTAAGATGCTTGTCTTCTCTGCTCTACTTTACTCCTAAGAAAGAGGACACGTTTTTGTTTTTTTTAATTGATATAATAAAGGTGATGCAGAGGGGCTGGGAAGGTGGCTCAGTGGTTAGAGCGCTTGCCTTGCATGCATGAGGCCCTGGGTTCAATTCCTCAGCACCACATAAGCAAAAAGAAAAAAGCCGGAAGTGGCGCTGTGGCTCAAGTGGTAGAGCGCTAGCCTTGAGCTGAAGAGCTGAGGGATAGCGCCCAGGTCCAGAGTTCAGGCCCCACGACCACACGCCCCCCCCCCCCCCCCAAAAAAAAAAAAAAGGTGATGCTGAGTTACAGTTACATAAATCAGGTAAAGGGTACATTTCTCTTTGGATTGTGACACCCCTTCCCTCGTTAACTCCCAGTCTTTTCCTCTTGTCTCTACCCACAAATTGTATAGTTTATTTGCTTTGTTTGTTTCTGTTTTTTGGTTGGTCGTGGGGCCTGAACTCTGGGCCTGGGTGCTGTCCCTCAGCTCTTCAGCTCAAAGTGAGCGCTGTACCACTTGAGCCACAGAGCCACTTTCAGTTTTCTGAGTGGTTTATTGGAGATAAGAGTCTCACAGACTTTTCTGCCTGGGCTGGCTTTGAACCGCGATCCTCAGATCTCAGCCTTCTGAGTAGCTAGGATTACAGGCGTGAGCCACCAGCGCCAGCCCTGCTTTTTTTTTTTAATGTTAATTTATTATTATACAGATGACATAAAGAAGGAGTTACACTTACATAAGTCAGGTAAAGGGGACATTTTTTTTGGACCATGTTATCCTTTCCCAGTTTCCCCTCCCACTGCTGTCCACGAATTGTATGGTTCACTTTCAGCATCGTGTCTAGCGACTGCCACTGCTTCATTTATCCACGCTTTGTCCCTCCATTTATATGACCCCTCCTTATCTTTCCAAAGTCAGGTAACTGAACAAACAAGACAAAAAGAAAAAAACAGCAACAAAGGAAAAAACTTGATGTCCATTTCCTGGAGTCTCGTTTTGTCTTGTTTTTTGTCAGTCATAGGGCTTGAACTTGGCCTGGGCGCTGTCCCTCAGCTCCACCACTTGAGCCACAGCACCACTTCTAGCTTTCTAGTGGTTTATTGGAGATAAGAGTCTCATAGACTTTCTTGCTCGGGCTGGCTTTGAACCTCGGTCCTCAGATCTCAGCCTCCTGAGTAGCTAGGATGACAGGCGTGAGCCACCGGCGCCCGGCCTCCTGGATTTCTTTTTGATCAATGCTATTTTATATGATCAGATACATGCACATAGTCCTCTCCTAAGAAGGAGGACTTCTTACCCTGTTCCAGGTCAGCTCCCAGCATGGCTGGGGAAATCCCGAATGCCTGTGGGGTCTTCTGTTCCCAGAGGGCTTCAGGGGAGCCCTTCTTGTAAAGATGTAGCAGTTTCAGGAATGTTACATTTCACGTCTTCCATGTGTGGTGGTGAATGCACAGTAGAGCTGAGTGCAATCTACTGATGGGCAGCCTCTGCTGGGACAGGCGTTCTAACGTGGCTGGATACCTTCTGCGTTGTAGGATGGGATTTTAAACCCTCACGCCGCCTCTTGCACCTGTGCCGCCTGCTGTGATGATATGACCCTGGTAAGTCTTGGTGCGTGTGCTGCGGGGTGTGCGGTGGACACGCCGGCCTCCCTCACCTCTTGTCCTACTTTTCTGTTGCCCCGTGCCTGGGGAGATCCTACCCACCTTCGTAGACGCGCCTCGTCTCCAGAGAGGTCCAGGGTCTGAAATGAGGAAGGCCGCGCAGCCACTAGGTCTGCCCCTGAAGCAGCACAGTACACGTGTGTGTATGTGTGTGTGCCAGTACTGGGGCTTGAACTTGGAGCTCTGCCTCTAGTTGGCATTTTGCTATCTAATTGAAGAGTCTCATGGTTTTGTCTGCTTGAGCTGGCTTCAAACCTTGATCCTCAGATATTAGCCTCCTGGACCAGCTAGGTTGACAGCAGTAAGCCACTAGCGCTTCAGTCTAACACGGACGTTTAAAGTGGTTATAACAGATGCACATTGCGACTCACGGTCTGCACTTTTTTTTTTGCCGGTCCTGGGGCCTGAACTCTGTCCCTCAGCTCTTCAGCCCAAGGCTGGCGCTCTACCAGTTGAGCCACAGCGCCACTTCCGGCTTTTTCTGCTTATGTGGTGCTGAGGAATCGAACCCAGGGCCTCATGCATGCAAGGCAAGCGCTATACCACTGAGCCTCCTTCCCAGCCCACGGTCTGCACTTTTAACACGGTTTCGTAACAGCGCGCCAGCTGTCACATGCCTGGAGTTGCCGTGTCCTGAGAGCCAGCTAGCTGCCTATTCTAGACTCTTCCCTGCTCTAGAGGAGGCAAGATCGTTTTATGTCTATTGCCGTATGGTTTTTAAAAGTATGATACTGTTTATTTACTCTGTGTGTGATACAGTTTCTAGGGTTCTACTGTACTAGTTTCATTTCAGTTTTCCTTAGTGTTATTTTTTTTATTTATTTATTTTTTAACCAGTCCTGATGCTTGAACTCTGGGCCTGGGCGCTGTCCCTCAGCTCTTCAGCTCAAGGCGAGCGCTCTACCACTTGAGCCACAGCGCCACTTCTGGCTTTTTCAGCTTATGTGGTGCTGAGGAATCAAACCCAGGGCCTCATGCGTTCGAGGCAAGCACTCTACCACTGAGCCACCTTCCCAGCCCTCCATGAGACTCTTACTGCCAACTGAACATCAAAAAGCCAGAAATGGAGTTGTGGCTCAAGTGGTTAGTTAGAGTAGTAGCCTTGAGCCAAAAAACTCAGGGTAGCACCCATGCACTGAGTTCAAGCCTTAGGACAGCACGCACGCACGCACGCACGCACACACACACACACACACACACACACACACACACACACACACACACACTGTTTCTAGATTCCCAGCTGTCGACTTCATTCTTTTTTTTTTTTTTTGGTTGGTCTTGGGGTCTGAACTCTGGGCCTGGGCGCTGTCCCTCAGCTCTTCAGCTCAAGGCCAGCACTCTACCACTTGAGCCACAGCGCCACTTCCGGCTTTTTCTGCTTATGTGGTGCTGAGGAATCAAACCCAGGGCCTCAGACACGCAAGGCAAGTGCTCTACCACTGAGCCACCTTCCCAGCTCTTCTTCCATTTTTAAAGACATCGAAGATCTGTTATATCCTTCTCATGCTTCACATTTCTCTGTTCTGCTATGCTGGTCTCTTTTCTTTGATTCAGCCAGGAAAGGTTCTCCATTGTTACAGAGCTTGTGATTAGATTGGCCTCCTTAGGTTACCCAGAGTAATTTTCATCTCAAGATTTGTAGTTATATCTGCAGAATCCCTTTTGCCAGTCAGTAATGTCCTTACAGTTTCCAGGAGTTAGGATGACTACTATTTCATCTGCTGCAACTTCTAAATGTTGTTTTTCCTTATTAAGGAAAAAAAAGAAAGCTGGGCACCAGTGACTCACACCTGTAATCCTAGCTACTCCCGAGGCTGAGATCTGAGTTTGGCAGTTCAAAGTCAGCACCCGCAGCAAAGTCCATGAGACATCTCAAATAAACCACCAGAAAATAGGAAGTGGCGCTGTGGCTCAAGTGGTACAGTGCTAGCCTTGAGCTGAAGGGCCTAGAGACAGTGCCCAGGCCCAAAGTTCAAGCCCCACAACCCACCCCCCCCAAAAAAAGAAAATGTTTTTTACTCATTTGCTGGTAATGGGGAGCTCATTGCCTTGAGTTCTCATTCAGCTTTATCTGCTCACAGCAGGTACTCTACTCCATTTATAATTTTTTTCCTGCTTATTTAGAGGTAAGATCTGCCGGCTAGGAAGGTGACTCAGTGGCACAATGTTTGCCTTGTATGCATGAGGCCCTGGGTTCTATTCCTTAGCACCACACAAACAGAAAAAAAGCCACAAGTGGTACTGTGGCTCAAGTGGTAGAGCGCTAGCCTTGGCCCTGAAGAGCTGAGGGACAGCGCCCAGGCCCAGAATTCAGGCCCCATGACCAACCAAAAAAAAAAAAAAATCTGCCCAGGCTGGCTTTGAACTATGGTTCTAAGATTTTAGTTTCTTAGTAGCAAATACTATAATATGGGCTTGTGTGTGTGTGTGTGTGTTTCTTTTTTGATGCTGAGGATTGACCCTAAGATGTTGTACTTGTTAGGCAAGGGCTTTATTTCTGACCTATATCTCAGCCCCTCATTTTAAAATTAAAATAAAATTTAAGCCTTAGGGCTGGGAAGGTGGCTCAGTGGTAGAGCGCTTGCCTTGCATGCCTGAGGCCCTGGGTTCGATTCCTCAGCACCACATAAGCAAAAAGAAAAAAGCTGGAAGTGGCGCTGTGGCTCAAGTGGTAGAGCGCTAGCCTTGAGCTGAAGAGCTGAGGGACAGCGCTCAGGCCGAGTTCAGGCCCCACGACCGGACCCAAAAAAAAAAAAAAATTTAAGCCTTAGCCTAGGAGTGTGACTCACAGTAAGCGGACTAGCTTATTATGTGTGAGGGCCTAGGTACTACCCAACACCACACACCTAAACACTACAGGCCTTGTGTTTTAAAACAAAACAGTAAGCATCTGCTATTCTCTCTCTTTCACTCTGTACTGGGACTTGAACTGGGTTCCTCCTTGTTAAGAATGTACTTTACCATTTAAGCAGTGTTTCTGTACGTACTTATTTTTATTTATTTATTTTTGCTGGTCATGGGGCTTGAACTCAGGGCCTGGGCGCTGACCCTGAGCTTCTTTTTGCTCAAAGCTAGCACTCTCCCACTGGAGCCACAGCACCACTTCTGGCTTTTTCTGTGTATGCGGTACTGAGGAACTGAACCCAGGGCTTCATGCATGCTAGGCCAGCACTCTACCACTGAGCCACAATCCCAGCCCCGGTACTTATTTTTGAAGTAGGGTCCATGCTAACAGCAGTACGATGGACTGTTCTCTACCATGCCAGCTTTTTCTGTTGAGATAGTCTTGCAAACTTTCCCTGGCCTGCCTTGACACACCTAGTCTCCTGATTTCTGCCTCCCAGGTAGCTAGGATTACGGGTGTGAGCCATTGAGAAATGCCAAGAGAAATGCCAAAATAGTTTTGATTTTTTTTTTTTCTTTTTTGAGGGGGGGGGTCCTGTTGTGGAGCCTGAACTCTGGGCCTGGGCACTGGCCCTCAGCTCTTCAGCTCAAGGCTAGCGCTCTACCACTTGAGCCACAGCACCACTTCCGGCTTTTTTCTTTTTGCTTATGTGGTGCTGAGGAATTGAACCCAGGGCCTCATGCATGCAAGGCAAGCGCTCTACCACTGAGCCACCTTCCCAGCCCCGCCAAAATAATTTTGAAAAAGAAATCTAACATTGGAAAAAAATCACAATTCAGAGGTTTTAAAACTTGCTGTCATTACAGTAATCAGGACAGTATGGTACCCACAGGGGAGACTTGAAGGGTATAAAGAAGAGATCAGAGTCTAGTTGCTTACCAAGACAGGAGTTCTAGCAAGTAGTGTTGACACCTCTATGCTGTCAAAGGACTGAGCTTTGGCCCAAACTTCACACTTTTCACAAATGTAGTTTAAATTGGATCAAAGAGCTAAACATAAGAGGAAAACTATCTAGGTGGACTATCTTCATTATTTAGGATTTGACCCAGAGTTTTTTAGGTTTGATAACAAAAAGTTCTTTAAACATAGAATCAGTAAGTTGGTCCTTAACAGGTTGCTTAAATCTTGGCTTCCACTTGGGGGTGTGATGCCACCATCCATCTGCTCCCGGAGAAATACCTGGTGTGGCTGGGAGGATTATAGAAAGCAACCACTTGAGGTCCCTCGAGGTTACAGTACCCACCTCTCCCCAGCAGAGCAGCAGCACAGCCACGGCTCCTTCCCTTCTCAGTGCAGACCCTGGTTGGACCAGCTCATTTCCTGTTGCAGTGGAGTCTGCCAATGGCACCAGCTTAGCCGGGGCCAGGATGGCCAGCCACAGATGACTTCTCCCTGGCCGAGCCCTGGGGGCATCTGCTCTCTGCAGGGGAAGATCTTTTATCCCAACAGCGCCCCCAGCAGGAAGCCCCTGGGTCTTAATACCCACTGCTGCTATAATATGTCATGCTCAATGTCTGGTTTTTTTTTTTTTTTTTTGGTCCTGTCGTGGGGCCTGAACTCTGGGCCTGGGCGCTGTCCCTCAGCTCTTCAGCTCAAGGCTAGTGCTCTACCACTTGAGCCACAGCGCCACTTCTGGCTTTTTTCTTTTTGCTTATGTGGTGCTGAGGAATCGAACCCAGGGCCTCAGGCATGCAAGGCAAGCGCTCTACCACTGAGCCAACTTCCCAGCCCCAAAGTCTGGTTTTTTGTTTTTTGATGTTTTTAATTGTTATTATGAAGATGCTGTACACAGGGCTACAGTTACGTAAGCCAGGTAAAGAGTACATTTCTTTTTTTTTTTGTCAGTCATGGGGCTTGAACTCTGGGTCTGGGCGCTGTCCCTCAGCTCTTCAGCTCAAGGCAAGCGCTCTACCACTTGAGCTACAGCACCACTTCCGGTTTTTTAGTGGTTTATTGGAGATAGGAGTCTCATGGTCTTTCCTGCCCGGGCTGGCTTTGAATCGCGATTCTCAGATCTCAGCCTCCTGAGTAGCTAGGATTACAGGCATGAGCCACCGGCGCCTGGCAAAATTTATTTATTTATTTATTTTTTCAATTTTTTTTTTTTTGGTCAGTCATGGATCTTGAACTCTGGGCCTGAACGCTGTCCCTCAGCTCTTCAGTTCAAGGGTAGTGCTCTACCACTTGAGCCACAGTGCCACTTCTAAGAGTGCATTTCTTTGTGGACAGTATCACCCTCTCCCAGTGAATGTTTTTTAACGAGAAATTTAAGATGTACAGAGAAGTAGGAAGCATGGACCATGAATAGCAGAAGAGGCTCAGGTGCAGCCTAAGAGTCCAAGGTGCAGGGTTTAACCAACAAAGCCTTCAAGGAACTTTCTAGGTGTGCTCAGGGAATCATCGCAAGCGTGGAGAGTAGGGTATGGGAGTGCAGGCCCGAAATCCAGCTACTTGCGTTTGGGCAGCTCAAAGAGCGGGAGGTAAAGCTCAGCAGGTAAGAAGGCTTAGCACACAGAAAACCCTGGACTCAGTTCCTAGTACTGGAAAAAAACAGGAGGCAGGCGCTGGTGGCTCACACCTGTAATCCTAGCTGCTTAGGCGGCAGAGATCTGAGGATTGCAGTTTGAAGCCAGCCTGGGCAAGAAGCGTCTGTGAAGCTTTTTTTTGGTCATGGGGCTTGAACTTGGGGCCTGGTTTGGGGGACCTTGTCTCGTGGCCTTCTGTGTCTCTTGTGCGGGGCGGCCCTGTGATTCTTTGTTTCTGCTGCTTGGTCTTCCCAAGCTGTCTTCTGACTGAGCGGAGGATGATGGGCATCACTGGCAGCTGTGGCCTGGGATGTGGTTTTTCTTGTTCCCCATTTGGTTCCACTTCTTCCCTTCTAGGAATCCTAAGGTCCCATGTGTCCGTGGTGCTGTCTTGCATGGCAGTACGTTCGTTCACGGTTGCTTTTGAAAGCACTCTGTCTTTGAGGGGCAGGAATGGGCTTTCCTCGGGAGAATGTGCTTGAGAAGAGTTGGGCATGCAGCCTCCTCTGCACTGAGGCTTGATGGCCAACGCTGCCTTTCTCCCTCAGAGTGGTCCCGTGAGGCTGTTTGTTCCTTACAAAAGGCGCAAGAAGGAGAACGAACTGCCGGCCACGCCCATGAAGAAAGAGTCCCCCAAGAGCATCGCGCTCCTCCCGGCCACGGCAGCCGCCGCCTGTGAGTTTCACCAAAGCCACGCCGGGGAGCTTGTCTGAAGCACTTGCTGAGGAGCCAGGGAGACGGCTAGCCCCGCTGTGCATGGGCTACTGGGCGGTGGCTCCCGTGGGGGTGAACACCCCCCTCCCTCCCTTGGGGGCATATACCCCCCTTCCCTCCCTCCTGTGGGGGTGCACACCCTTCCCTCCCTCCCGTGCGGGTGCACACCCCCCTCCCTCCCTTGGGGGTATATACCCCCCTTCCCTCCCTTCCGTGGGGGTGCACACCCTCCCTCCCTCCCGTGGGGGTGCATACCCTCCCTCCCTCCCATGGGGGTATATACCCCCCTTCCCTCACTTCCGTGGGGGTGCACACCCTCCCTCCCTCCCTCATGTGGTGGGGGTGCACACCCCCCTCCCTCCCTGGCTTGCTCCCCGCCTGCCTGGTGCAGTGTGGCCCATCCTGGGCTCTTACTAGCCCCCCCGAGGGCGTCCACATGGAGGCCTCCGGGCCCCACTAGCCTCCTCTGGCAGAGCTTGTCCTCAGCAAGCGCCTCGTGGTGGATGGGGCTGGGAGGGCCGCTCTCTCCTGGATGGTGCTTGGGGCTGGCAGGGCTGCTCTCTCCTGGAGACTGGCCAGCCCGAGCCCCCAGTAGCTTTGGGCAGCCTTTCATAGAAGTGTCGTTGTCATGAAGCCTCTTTTTGGGTCCAGTTTGAGTACTTCCTGTTGCCTGTGAACTGATCAGGAGAATCAAGGAACCAGAAGGGAAATCTGGCTGGCTTAACCACAGAATGGCTGGGCGCTGGTGGCGCACACCTGAAATCCTAGCTACTCAGGAGGCTGAGATCTGAGGGTTGCAGTTCGAAGCCAGCCCAGGCAGGAAAGTCTGTGAGATTCTCATCTCTATAGTTAACTACCAAAAAAGTCAGAAGTGGAGCTATGGCTTAAGTGGTAGTGTTAGCACAAAAGCTCAGGGACAGCTTCCAGGCTGAGTTCAAGCCCCAGGACTGGCACAAAAAAACCAAAACAAAACAAAACAGCCGGGCACTGGTGGCTCATGCCTATCATCCTAGCTACTCAGGAGGCTGAGATCTGAGGATCATGGTTCAAAGCCAGCCCAGGCAGGAAAGTCCATGAGACTCTTATCTCCAATAAACCACTTGAAAACTGGAAGTGGCGCAGTGGCTCAATGGTAGAGCGCTCCGCTCGCCTTGAGCTGAAGAGCACAGAGACAGCACCCAAGCCCAGAGTTCAAGCCCTATGACAGACCAACAAAACAAAACAAAAACAAACAACAAAAACCCCAGATGTGTGGGAAAAGGAAAAGGCCTTGGTCAGACCTCAGCCTTTGGAGCCATGTGTCCCTGCAGGGCCTGGCGATCCCCACACTGGTGGTCTCTGGGTCTGCCCAGCTTGAGGGCCAGTCAGCATCTCCTGGACTGATAGCAGGAGGAGAGGAGGTGGTGAAGGCTGAAGGTCGCCGGCTGGGCCGCTGATGAGCAGAGCCCTGATTAGAGCCTTTTCTTCTCATTTATTTTGGTGCCGCTCCTGCAGCTGGAGCTCCAGGCTTGGGCTCCATCCCTGAGCCTTTTTGCTCAAAGCTAGCATTCTACCACTTACCACACCTCCCTCCACTTCTGACTTTTTTGGGATTTAATTAGAGATGAGACTTTGCTGTGTCCACTGGCGTTGAACTGCAATCCTCAGAGCTCTGCGTCCTGGAGTAGATGAGGCCTGGCTGAGTGTCAAATGCACTTCTGCTTTCCAGTCACTGTGACGCCCTCAGGACAGATCACTACCTCTGGGGCACTGACCTTCGACCGGGCTTCCGCTGTGGAGGCCACTGCTGTCATATCAGAGGGTCCCACCCAGGGCGATGTCTTCGCTGGAGCCACGGGTGAGTGGTGGACCGCTGTCTGACCTGTGTGCAGCCCCCGGTCTCCTGGCTCCACATGGTGGGCCTTGTCTGCTACTGGTACCTTGGGAGGCGGGCTGTCTGCTGCTGACCAGCGGAAATCAGATGAGTGCGTGTGGCAGGCACGTGGTGTGGGACCTGATTATTTGTGACAGAGCCGCGTCTGCCAAGCTGGTCTGCCAACTCCCGCTTTGGTGCAGCGCTGTCTCACAGGAGTAGAGTCCCGGCCCCTTTGCAGGAGCCGTGTGAGGAAAGTGGGTGAAACAGGCGGAATCCTCATGTGTGGTCTTCTGACTGTCCACACTCCCTCACGTCATGCAAGTACCTGTGGCCAGGACCTGTGGTGTCTGTGCGTGGCTGAGGCCTCCTGTCGCTCTCTCTCCAGTGCAGGAGGCCGGGGTGCAGCCCCCATGCAGGGTCGGCCACCCTGAGCCTCACTACCCCGGCTTTCAGGACAGCTGCCAGATTGCCCCGTTCCCAGAAGCCGCTCTGCCAACGTCACATCCCAAAATAGGTGAGTCTGAAAGAGTTCACGCGTGGGTCACCCTCAGGTCTCACATGCTGTCAAGGGTTCTGCCACCAGCTCTAGCCCCAGACCTGGGCTGTTTGGCTTTCCTTTCTTCTTCTCATTAGCTCACGTTAGTTAAGTAAGGGGGATTTCTTTATCTATTTGCACATACGTGTGCGGTGTGTCCTGGTCGATCTCACCACCTCTGTTGCTGTTTGCTTTTCTGCTGAAGCGCGGGTCAGGGCTGACCGGAATCCTACCTGTGTGTAAAGAGGTTTTACTACACATCGGCTCCCTGATCACTTGTATGTGAGCCCTCTTGGGTCTAGTGTCAGGCAGCTCCCATAAACACCAAAACTCCTTTGAGGCCTAACATAGGTATCGCCAGGTCCTCTGGGAAGAGGAGGTGTTCATAGAGGACCCGCACCCCTGGGTCCGGAGCTGCAGAGACGGTATGGCGCCCATGCCTTCAGGGCTGAGAACTCGCCGTGTGTACTTTGACCTGGGTTTTCACTTGACTATGTTTTGTTTGTTTGTGTGTTTGTTTAGTTCCAATCCTCAGGCTTGAACTCAGGGCCTTGGTGCTGTCCCTGAACTTTTTTTGTCTAAGGATAACACTCTACTACTTGAGCCTTCTTATGAGTAATTAATTAATCATATGATTAATACTGCTTCCAGCTTCTTATGATTAATTGGAGGAAAGATTCATGGACTTTTCAGCTTGGGCTGGCTTTGAACCATGATCCTCAGATCTCAGCCTCCTGAGTATCAAAGATTACAGGAGTGAGCTGCTGGCACCCAGCTATTTATTTTTTATTAAAAAATTTTTTTGGTGATACCTAGGTTTGAACTCACGGCCTCTAGTTCTTGAACTCAGCCCCACTTCTTCAGCTTTAGTTAGTTTTTCCACACAGGGTCTCTACTTTTGCCTGGATTGGCCCTGGACTTTCACCTCCTACCACATTGGGATTGCAAGCATGTACCGCTCTTTTTCAGTACTGAGGATCGATCAGACCCAGGACCATGCACTTGCTAGGCAAGCTGCATCCCAGCCTAAAGCATGCACCATTCTGATGACCTCAACTCTTACTTTTTTTGGGGGGGGGGGGGCGCAGAGTCGGTCATGAACTCTGAGCCTGGGCGCTGTCCCTCAGCTCTTCAGCTCAAGGCTAGCGCTCTACCACTTGAGCCACAGCACCACTTCCGGCTTTTTTCTTTTTGCTTATGTGATGCTGAGGAATCAAACCTAGGGCCTCAGGCATGCAAGGCAAGCGCTCTACCACTGAGCCACCTTCCCAGCCCAGCCCCAAGCTTTTTTACTGAAGGCTATCATTCTACCATTTGAGCCACAGCTCCTTTTCTGAGTTTTGGGTGATTAATTGGAGAGGAAAGCCTCAAGCCTTTCCTTTACTGGGCTTTGAACCGTGATCTTTGAATCTCATCCACCTGAGTCCCTAGAATGACAGGCGCCAGCCTCCAGAACCCAGCTTGCAGTTTTACATTTTCTAGCGTTATGAACAATGTAAGTTTTTAAAAGTCCCTCCCACCTTGACCAAACTTGTCCTTCTGGCTCACGCAGGCTGCACCTTGGTCCAGATCCCCCATCCTCTCATTTTCCATGTCTGCTGTGGGCCATGTGGTGCAGGGCTTGTCTGCTGCTCATCATGAACTCGAGGGAACCCCACCTCCAGAAATTTTGTTAACATCCAAGTACCTCTGTGTGTGTGTGTGCAAGTGTGTGCACGCACCAGTCTTGGGGCTTGAACTCAGAGCATAGACTTTTTCTCTGAGCTTTTGTGTTCTACTACTTGAGTCACAGCCCCACTTCTGGATTTTTAGAGTTAATTAGAGATAAGAGTCTCATAGACTGCCCGGGCTGGCTTTGGACTGTGATTTCAGATCTCAGATTCCTGAGTAACCAAGATTGCAGGTGTGAGCCACCAGTGCCCAGCTTAAGAACTTCTTTATAGAAATGATCTCAGATGTACAACAAAAGATCAACTATGTGTAAGGAACTCTCTCCCTTGAGCTACTTGATAGTAAATTGCAGATACTCTTCATCTTGCTCTACTGTGCTTTTCCCGAAACACAAGGATCATGGGAGACTCAGGAAATGAGCATCAGCTGCTGTGGCCTGTGAGCGAGTAGCTGTGACAGGAGGTGGCCAGCCTCGGGGCTGCGCTTGCTTTCTGAGCTCAGCCCACCATGTGTCCCTTCCTGCCTCCAGACACCCTGCTATGGAGGCTGCCCAGAGCCCTTGTCTAGAGTGACCCTCACCCGGGCTGAGACACCAGGCGCTTACCTGTGCCTGGTGAGGGTGGCCTGCCCCTGGGTGAGTGGTGTGCATCGCCCTGCCACACCCGCCCGCCCGCGGGGAGCTCCGGAGGCCCCCTCACACCCGCCCCTGTGCACCAGGCGCTTACCTGTGCCTGGTGAGGGTGGCCTGCCCCTGGGTGAGTGGTGTGCATCGCCCTGCCACACCCGCCCGCCCGCGGGGAGCTCCGGAGGCCCCCTCACACCCGCCCCTGTGCACCAGGACTTCCTGCTTCACCGCGGGAGACGGAGCTGCCGCTGGCCGCTCTGCCGAGCGTGCGCACCTGTAATCCCAGGAGGACTGGGAGTTCAGGGCCAGTCGGGGCTGTAAAGGGAGACCCTTCTGTCTTTAAAAAAGAAGCCAAAAATAGGAAACAAAACATGAAAGGTTTTCCTTCCTTGGACGTGTAAGGAAACAGACTCGGGTTAGTGCTTGCTTCACGGTCGCCCTGCCCCAGGTAGGTGTCTGTGGACACGGGTTTTTGGCCTTGTGTCAGCTGTGGGCCTGTCTTGGGCTTGTTGCTGGCAGCGCTGAGAAGGTGCAGGGGGGACAGGACGGCGGAGCCTCGGCAGCGGTCTTCCGCTGTTCCTCTCACCCTCTGTTCCCACATGTGAGCGTGCTTGGTGCAGGCTGTCTGGGAGCTTGGAAGTTGCTAATATCTTGGTTTATCCCCCGTTCTACACGTTCCAGTCCTGACATCCCTGCCTGCCCTAGCAGTGCCGCCTTCCACCCCCACCAAAGCTGTCTCCCCCGCGGTGGTCAATGGGCTGGAGATGTCAGAACCGCGGAGCTGGTTGTACCTGGAAGAGATGGTCAACTCTCTGCTCAGCACTGCACAGCAGCTGAAGACAGTGTTTGAACAGGCCAAGCAGGCCAGCTCCTGCCGTGAGGCCGCTGCGACCCAGGCCAGAATGCAGGCCGATGCCGAGCGGAAAGAGGTAACGCGAGCTCCGATGTGCGGCCGTGCCCACTGTCCCCCAGGAGCCCTGGGCCGGCCTGTGGTTCCCACGTCGGCCAACGAGGCTCACTGCTTTGCTGCCCCCGAGACCGAAACCCTGGAAAATCACCACAGTCACAGCCCTCCTGACGGGGCCTGGGGGGACTGTTTCTAAAATGTCCTGTTTTTGTGAAGAAGTTGGCTGGCTGCAGAAGTAAAGGCCATTTGTCGTTGGGTTTTTTCACCTGAGCCACTCCCTCTGAATACACACTGCTCACAGGATTCATACTCCAGGTTGTCTTTATGTAGCAGAATAGGAAATTTAAGTTCAAGGTGGCATGCAGGCTCGGGTGGGCGGGCGCCAAGAGCTTTCCATCCAGTCAGCCTCTTCCACCCTGGGCAGCAGGTCACGCACATTGTGACCAAGAGGGTTTCCCATGACTTCCTCTAGCGCCCTCAGATTGTCAGGCAGGTTTTCTGCGACAGAGCTGTACCCCGGTCCTCTTTGGCTTCGTTTTTGTCCAAGGTTTTAGACTGAGGGTAAAAACCTAAGTACAGGATAGAGGGCAAAGACCACCCGACGCAGTACGCTGAGAAGAGGTTGATTCTCAAGCCGCTCTGATGAGAACCCACGAGGGAGGGGTGCGGTTGGCACGGAGAGGGGGAGGCTGGTACTTTCGGTGGAAGCTTGAAACCCAGTGAAACAGAGCCTTGAGTTCAAAAGCTCAGGGAGGCTGGGAATGTGGCTCAGTGGTAGAGTGCTTGCCCAGCCTGCACGATGCCCTGGGTTCAATGCCTCAGTACCATATAAACAGAAAAATGCCAGAAGTGATGCTGTGGTTCAAGTGGTTGAATGCTAGCCTTGAGCAAAAGAAGCTCAAGGACAGCACACAGGCCCTGAGTTCAAGCCAGGACTGCCAAAAAAAAAAAAAAAAAGGGTCTTGTGAATGAACTTTTCTGCCTGGGCTTTTGATAAACCATGATCCTCAGATCTCAGCCTTTTGAATAAGTGGGATTATAGACATGAGCTATTGGTGTAGGACTCTGAATGTTTTTGTTTTTATTTTATTTTATTTTTTTGGTCGGTCGTTGGGCTTGAACTCTGGGCCTGGGCGCTGTCCCTCAGCTCTTCAGCTCAAGGCAAGTTTACTGCTTGAGCCACAGCGCCACTTCTGGTTTTCTAGTGGTTTATTGGAGATAAGAGTGTCATGGAGTTTCCTGCCTGGGCTGGCTTTGAACCGAGATCCTCAGATCTCAGCCTCCTGAGTAGCTGGGATTACAGGCATGAGCCACCAGCGCCCAGCTTATCAGAATGTTTTTAATATGTAATGTGTTGGTTTTCAAGGAAAAAATGGTTTCTACTTTTTTTTTTTGATCAGTCGTGGGGCTTGAACTCTCCCTCAGCTCTTCAGCTTAAGACAAGCTCTCTACTGCTTGAACCATAGCGCCACTTCCATTTTTCTAGTGGTTAATTTGAGATAAGAGTCTCACGGACTCTTCTGCCTCCTGAGTAGCTGGGATTACAGGCGCGAGCCACCGGCTCCCAGCTCTACTTTTTTTTTTAATGGTAGAGAAAACTTAAAATATTTTTTTCAAGGGCTGGGAAGGTGGCTCAGTGGTAGAGTGCTTGCCTTGCATGCCTGAGGCCCTGAGTTCAATTCCTCAGCACCACATAAGCAAAAAGAAAAAAGCCGGAAGTGGCGCTGTGGCTCAAGTGGTAGAGTGCTAGCCTTAAACTGAAGAGCTGAGGGACAGCGCCCAGGCCCAGAGTTCAGGCTCCATGACCGGACCAAAAAAAAAAAAAATTTTTTTTTCAAAAGTGTAATTTCAGGGTAAGTATGACTCAGTGGTAGAAGGCGTGCCTAATATGTACAATGTCCTGGCTTTTTGCCAGCACATGTGTACCCCCCTACCCCCCCCCCCCCACTCCCCACAGTTCTAGATTAGTACAAAACCCATGCTGACATTTGTGGGAAATAGACAAGCTTATTAAAAAGAAAAAAAACCCAAATTCCTTCCATCCTGATGCCCAAAGATAATGGCATATTGATGTTTTCTGTGTGCTTTTGGACTCTAAAAAGTAGAGGTGAAGTTTATGCAGAACGAAATGCCTGAACCTTTGGGTGCAGTCAGGGATGCTCCGTACCCATGTGGCTGGACACGGCGAGCCTCCTCCCAGCAGTCCCGCGCCACACCGGGCTCTCCGGGTTTCTGTCAGTGCTGACCTCGGGGAGTCAGCGCTCCTGTCCCGACCCTTGTTCCCGCAGTGTTCCCTCTTCACGTGAGCTGCCTGAGGAGATTTGTTGAAAATAAACTGATAGTGCGATGTGGGTCTCCAGGTTTTGTTTTGACCTGGATGATGTAAAAGTGTAGAGGCTTTTGTAGATTTTTTTGGCGGGGTGCTGGGGTTTGAACTTGGCCCTGTGTTTGCTAGGCCGGTGTTCTCAATCTTGGGCACAGCCCCATCTGACAGACTTTTTGTCCTTTCTTATCTCCAGGAGACAATGTTCTGTGTAATAATTTAAACGCATGTATTATTTGTTTGTTGTGTTGAGACAGGGTCTTGGCTGTGTAGCTAGCTGACCTCAAACACAGCTCTGTGATCCTCCTGTCAGTCATCCTCAGTGGAAGAATTAATGCTGTGCTTTTAAATGAATGAGACTGGACTTGTTTCGTGTCTAGGACTGTTCTCTTTCTTGGTGAATATTCCAGATACACTTGATTTTACCAGGCACCAGTGGCTCACATCTATAATCCTAGCCACTCAGAAGGCTGAGATCTGAGGATCATGATTTGAAGCCAGCCCAGGCAGACAAATTGTTGAAAACTTACCTCTAGAAGAAGGCAAAAGCCAGAATAGAGCGGGGCGCTGGTGGCTCACCCTTGTAATCCTGTCTACTCAGGAGGTTGAGATTGAGGACCTGGTTTGAAGGCAGCCTAGGCAAGAAAGTCTTTGGATTCTTACCTCCAGTTAGCAGCAAAAAGCTGGAAGTAGAGCTTTGGCTCAAGTGGTAGAAGTCCAACCTTGAGTGAAAAAGCTAAGGGACAGAGCCCTGGACCTGAGTTCAAGCCCTAGTACCAACACCCCTCTTCCCCAAGAAAAAAGCCAGAACGGGAGTTACAGTAGAATGCCAGCTGTGAGCAAAAAAGCTGAGCAAGAGTACACAGTACATGGCTCTGAGTTCAAGCCCCAGTACCATCACCACCAAAAAAGAAAAAAGGAAGCCGAGCGCCGGTGGCACACGCCTGTAATCCCAGCTACTCAGGAGGCTGAGCTCTGAGGATCACCGTTCAAAACGAGCCAGGGCAGGAAAGTCTGATATCTTATCTCCAATTAACTACCAGAAAACTGGAAAAGGTGCTGTGGCTCAAAATGGTGAAGTGCTAGCATTGAGCAAAAAAGCTCAGGGACAGCACCTTAAGCCCATGACTAATCCAAAAAAAAAAAAAGAAAAGAAAAAGAAAGACTTACTCAGTGTGGACTTTAATGTCCAGTAATGCTATTAGGCCAAAATAGTTCGAGCACTGTTCAGTTCTTCCACGGGAAGAGCTGTCCATAGCGTTAATCTTCCTGCTTGACCCATTGTTTCTGCCTCCTGGGCAGACTCAAACTCTGTCAGAACCAGACCGGAATTCTGTTTGAAGTCTTAAAGCAAAACAGCAAAGAGAAGTCACTAAGGTGAGAGACAGGAGGTGGCGCTGTGGCTCAAGCGGTGGAGCGCTAGCCTTGAGCACAGAGGCTCACTGACAGTACCCAGGCCCTGAGTTCAAGCCCCACAACCAACAAATGAAAGAAAAAGTGATGGTGAGGGGCTGGGAAGGTGGCTCAGTGGTAGAGCGCTTGCCTTGCATGCATGAGGCCCTGGGTTCGATTCCTCAGCACCACATAAGCAAAAAGAAAAAAGCCGGAAGTGGTGCTGTGGTTCAAGTGGTAGAGCGCTAGCCTTGAGCTGAAGAGCTGAGGGACAGCGCCCAGGCCCAGAGTTCAGGCCCCACGACTGGACCCAAAAAAAAAAAAAAAAAAAAAAAAAAGTGACAGTGAGAGACAGAAAGCATGAGCCGAAGCCAGCCATAGACAGCACCAGCCCTGGAGGAGAGCAGGGGGAGGCCTCCCCCTGTAAAGGTGCCTATTTCCTTTTATTTTTAGGTATATGGTCCTGAGTTGGTGCTTTTTCACCCAGCACTTTGAAGATGTTCTCGCTTTCTCTCCTAGCCAGCACCCTTTGTGTTAATATCTAATAGGAATTGCCTTTTTCCTTAACCGCTTGTTTGCTTTAAACTTCTCTGGAGCTGTGGATATCACTCGTGGTGCAGGGTTCTCCTGGTAGCTTGGCCAGGGCCTGGGTTAGATTCCCAGCACAGCCCAAAACAAAAGAGCGCACAAAAACAATGTGTGGATGTATGGCACCTGCCTGTAATCCCAGCTACTCTGGAGTAGCTCAGGGTGCAGAGGTCATTCTGGGAGGTTTAGCAAACTGTCTCAGAATACAAGAAATAAAAAGAGGTGAGGAAGCCAGGCGCCCGAGGCTCGCGCCTGTAATCCTAGCTAGTCAGGAGGCTGAGATCTGAGGATCACGGTTCAAAGCCCACCCGGGCAGGAAAGTCCATGAGTCCCTTATCTCCATAACCACCAGAAAACCAGAAGCGGTGCAGTGGCTCAAGTGGTAGAGCGCTCACCTTGAGCTGAAGAGCTGAGGGACAGCGTCCAGGCTCAGAGTTCAAGTCCTATGACCGGCAAAAAAAAACCCATGTTGGGCTGGGAAGATGGCTCAGTGGTAGAGTGCTTGCCTTGCACCACATAAGCAAAAAGAAAAAAGCCGGAAGTGGCGCTGTGGCTCAGGTGGTAGAGCGCTAACCTTGAGCTGAAGAGCTGAGGGACAGCGCCCAGGCCCAGAGTTCAGGCCCCACTACCGGACCCAAAAAAACAAAAAAACAAAAAAAACCCTTGTCCTGTGCCTGCAGGCGGAGGCAAGAGAAGGTTTTCATTGGCTCACGTGGGTG